TTGTTTTCACTTAAGTTAGCACCTAAATTAACCCCTTATTTCTACTGTTAGGTGTCACTTATAGGTTGGTGAAAATCAAAATGCCGCCTCCCTTAGCTTAGAGATTCCTGAAATATTTAAGAGACGTTAGTGAAAATGAGTATAGGATGCTCATCCACGGGAAAAGCAAGGGTGCTAACAAATGTATACTACTTACTCAGTCACTACACGAGTAAAGCGACCCAATTAATTACACCTAAACTACTCAATATTTATCAAACAAAACACATTATTGGCTTTTCCTCCACACCATTTCCTCTCGACATCACAACAATGAATGCGAAAATAATTCTCATTAAGAACAGTTTACCAATTCAAGTTTTATTGTGGGAACAGTTAAAAGCTTTTAAAGACATTCAAATGGCCATTTTATGGTCGACGCGTCGAAAATGGCGGCCGCCTATGTCATAGGACGTTTTGGGTATGGAGTATGAAGTTATGGAGTACCAGTGTACTGTCACGTTTTTCTTTAAGAAGCAACTGAGCGCCGCCAATTCATAACACTAGAGTTATCGGAAGTCGTTTGGCAAATGGTAGTAAGCGTGATTGTTGATTGTGAAACATAGGCCTTGAATTCGATTCCTGGACCTAGCAAAATATTGTTGAGTTGTTTCGGTTTAAAAAGAGTAGTGATCCACTGGATGCAGGTCCAATCGGATGATAAAACTCTAGTAGTAAATCCGCAGTATGGATTTTGAAGTGGCACCTGGAATACAGCTAAGGCTCGTTTTTTATTACGTAAGCGGTAAGAATAAGACGCACTCCACAGTGCACAATACCAATCCTTCTTCATACTTGGAGACAGAGGTTACTCCATTCCTCTATACTCTATGACTTTAGGGGGTGACGCGATTTTATACCCTCATTAATTATAACGGTTCTTTTTCATGGGGTGCGAAGATTTTCATATAATTGGCGGTTACCCATAGACTTTGACGTCAGTTCCGTTAAACGATGGTGTATTTACTTTCTTAGGAATTTATTTATGAGTTTAAAGTATATTTTATTTATGTGTGTGATGTGAATTTTGTTAATCAATTAGCCTTAGATTCTTAGCCAGACTAACAGAACTAAATTAACTGTCACACTTTTTTATCCCCAAAAAGGTTGGCAGATGTGCACACAATCACACATGTTATGTAGCTAATACAGCCTAAGTACTCTTAGGGCGTCAGTCTATTACCCCAGCACCTCGATATCAGGCTACGAAACCTGATGTTTATTTAAGGCAAATTGTAAATACCTATGTTAAATACGTATAATAATAAAACTCTTTGCTTAGAAATAAAGCCTTGGAATTGGAATTAGGAATAATACTAATAATGTGCACTTGAATATGAACTTAAGTAGGTACCTAGTCCTGAATTAATTATTTACATTAAATTACAAACAGTAGAAAAATCTTTCATCATCATAATCTAGGCCGTACTCAACAAACTAGATAACAATAAGTAAAACACTCACCTTTTAAAAAAGCCGGAGACACACACAGAACTCACTAAAAACAAAAAAAGAACTATTAACTTATTCAAAATAAATTAAAACAGTGAAAACATTAACATATTTGACAAGTACTGAACAGACGGAAAACTGAAAGCAAAACAAGATTGAAGATTGCGTCAAGTTTGTTTGCGATAAGATAGGATGAATCTTGTCATACTAGGTACCTACGTCGATAAGTGTTGATCATGATCATGACACCTAGAGGGTTACAAGAAGCCAACCACTTGAAGATATCGTGGCGTTTCGCCATCATATAGAATGTCGCAGCCAACTGGCCTAATTAGCCATTTAACTATCGGCCTGAATGTTCAGCCGTTTGATTGAATGGCTGAGTTTCTCAAGCCGTTAGCTGAAGGATAAAGGAATTTGTCTTGTCATACTACATCAATAAGTGTTGATCATGATCATGACTTCTAAAGGGTTACAAGAAGCGAAGCACTTGAAGATATCTTGCATGGCGTTTCGCCTTCATGCAGAGGTGTCGCAGCCAACTTGTTTAATTAGCTATTTGACGGCCTGAATGTTCAGCCGTTTGATTGAATGGCTGAGTTTCTCAAGCCGTTAGTTGAACGATGTAGGAATTTGAATCTTGTCTTACTACATCGATAAGTGTTAGTCAGGATCATGACTTCTAAAGGGTTACAAGAGTGAGTGTCAGACTCTTACTGACTAAAAACCACCCCGTTCCTACTCCTGCTCTTCGAGCCGGAGCCCTGGCTACCGAGAACATCTTGTTCTGGCCGTCAGTTGAAGGGTGAAGTTGAATTGTTATTATAACCTAGTTGCTATCAGAATTGTATTTGAAAGATTGTATTGGTTAGAAAGATTTCTTTCGTTAATTTCGAAGTCTACTCAGTCATGCAAACAATTTTGTCTTTTCCGGGAGAAATGCACTAAAGTGAATAAAGTTAATTTTCTGTCAACTACCAGAATAATGTAGCTATACAAACAAACTCTTCAACCCTTTTAATACTAGATATAGGTAAGATTATCGCAGAATCCTAATCATTCAACTGGCTTAGAGTTATCTCAGTTTGTACGAGCCTACCTACTGACTTCCTTCATATTTGTAAATGATAACTACCACCTACCTATATGTAAGTACCTATTACTGAAATAGAAAAATAAACTGCGTCAAAATAACCCAAGAAAAGATGAGAATTACATCATGTTATTTGATATTTTTTGTAATAAAAACTTGCCCCACACTAGGATTTTCTCCTGTGTGGGTGCGTTTACAAACATACAAGTTCACATACACATGACAACCAGACCCGGAAAGACAATGTGTAGATCACACAAAATGTTGCTGGATGCGGGAATCGAAACTCGACACGTTGCGCGCCCGCCAATTGGCCAAGCACAGCGCCAAAAGTGCAGTCGATCTATTTAAAATGTTTTTTTTTTATTGGGTCACCCCGCCACAACCTTCCAAACCCTTTATGCTAAAATCTACAGTAGATACAACCATGAAAACTCCGGGACATTGAAATATTTAAAATGTAATTGAATATTTGAATTACGAAAAAAAAGTGTAATTCTAGTATGGTCATCTGCCTTCTGCATTTACCTACCTATAATAGGTACTAGTTCTCAGTTAAAAAGTTCTTAGGCAGAAATGTAATGAGGCCACTCTATTAAAACCGTGATCGACTATTTCAGTTGTATAACCATTTCGTGTAGTTAACTGTCCAATTAATTACTACCAATGAGGTTGTAATATCATCCGCCAACCTCTTTGCTGCGTGATCTTTTTGTTTAGCTAGGATTGAGATTGAGGTCAACATCAGTGAGATTCACACATAGCTATAATTTTTATATCTATCTATGCAGGTACCTAAGTAAGATTTTTTTAACCAGTAAAATCATCGAATGCCTTCTCCCGCCTGGGTGAGGCGGTAGGGCTAGTCAGAGTCTTACTGACTAAAAACCACCTCGTTCCTACTCCTGCCCTTCGAGCAACCCGTTAAGTAGGTACTCCGCGGCTCCGTATCGGCATCAGTACCTACTATTGGGCTCTATCTGTGGTGGTCTGATGGCTCTTTGAGGCCCGTGAGGTAAGTAAGATGAATAATGATAATGAAGAACCTCCGCATTCTGCACAATTCATTAAAACCCTAAGTACCCTAGGTAGTTCGTCTAGCAACTCGCACTAAGGTAATTCCTCATACAAATTGCGCGTTTACAAACACAGAGTTTTACAGTCACACCAAAAAATACTCAAAGAATTACTATTCCATGTAGAATGTTACTCTGTAAATGAACTTTAGAAGTGAGCTAGATCGCATTCTCGTCATGAATCGGAATTATTCTTATAACCAATGGCATGGCTGACCGCCATCGAGTTCATTTCGATCTTTCGAAGTTACAGAATAGCTTGCACCGTAGTCAGGTGCAGAGTGTTTCAGATGAACGCAGATGACTAGAAAAGACATAATAATTATTATTCTTTTACATTAACATTAGCTTACTAAAGAATAAATACCAAGTAAGGAAATACCGAAAAAACAAACTAAATAAATAAATTGCTCTATGGCGTGTTCAAATTCATTAATGTGGCCGCGTTGCGACTATAGACAAATAGATGACATATAATTTTTAAATACACCAGGCGTTTATTATCTATCATGCATTTGTTACATGCAATCCTCCTTAGAATCATTAAATTAGGTCGGTACCTATGTTATTAAACACCAAGGTCTTTTCCATAAAAACCTATTGTTTATCTATAAAGTATTAAAACGATCTTAAACATTTAAGCATCCTATTTATTGGCCAATACATAATAAGCAGTTGCTAAACCACACCAGAACTACAAAATCAAGAAGTACCTACTTGATTTATGAGTAAGTAACTAGATGTATTAAGTAAGTTCGTGTAACATAAAATGCACACGATGCACATAAAATGCATAGGTACAAGATGAGGACGATTTTTATTTGCATCTTCTTTCGTGGTCGACCTTATTTTGAAAATGTGATAAAGAAAGGTAATTATTATTTTATCTTAAAGGATATTATTTTTTGTACAGTACATACAGTACGTACTTAGAGTATTTAACAAACTTAAATACTCTAAGGCAGGGATGGCGAACCATTGGCACGCGTGCCGTTGATGGCACGGAACGCAACATTTTGGGCACGACAGTGATTACAAAACTGATGAATGATCAGAAACCTACAACGCATTTATGGTGTCTTAAATATTTCAGGTGTCATAATGCGGTGACAGTTTACCAGACCAACTGTATACTTTATTGCTTCAGATTGACAGTAAATAGTAATAATCAGTCGATGGCACACATAAAACCGTAAAACAATTTTCTTCAAAGTAATTGGCACGCTAATGTGTAAAGGTTCGCCTTCCCTGCTCTAAAGTCTTTATTGTAATACTAAATTATAAAATTAATGTAAACATCATAAATTAATGTAAATGTTATAAAAACTTATTCCAACCAACATAATGCAAAAAAATCTGCTATCCTTAAACTGGCAACACTGACACTTATCTGTCAAAGAAAAGTGACATGCGGTTTACGGATTTCAGTATGAACGATTTTATTTTTCAAACTATTTGTTTCTAAAACATAAAAATTTCATGTGTAATGTCGTTATTCGATAACGCTGTTTTTAATTCCACCTTGTACGAGGCTCTGTATCTTCAAATCGGGGATACTTTGTCGTTCGCAAGGGATTTCTTTGATTCGTGTCTAACGTCGTTACCTATTGAAAGTTTTCCGAAATCAATCGTTAATTTCACTGAATTATCTTTCTACGACGAGCTAGCGGAGGTATTATACTTCAACGAGTTCCAATTCCTGTTGTTGAAGACATTTTTCTTGATTCTTTTGTTTACGTTGTTATTGATTTTCATTTCGTGGCGAGTGTACGGTAAACGTATATCTGAGCGGTTTATGAAACCGGGTGAGTCATTTATTTCGTTTGTTCTCGATATCTGTATTATTCTGCAGTTTTTACATAATGCACGTGAGTTTTAGAGGCCAATGTTACTTTGTTTTCTTTGAAAAACTGTTTGCACTTACTATGTATTGTTTTCCAATGACTTAATAGTGTTTTGATCGTTAATCTTATCGAAAGATAAGTCTTATTTAATTACTTAACTAATGAATAACAAGCTAAACCTCTAAAACTTATTGGAATCCAAATGTCACATTGGACAACACAAGATAATTAACTATTTTCATGCTGATAAAATGATATTGTAAATACCTATTTACTAGGTACCACAGAATACAAACAATTTTTTTTTATACTAATAAAGGTGTAATGCAACCTCTTTAGACCAATAGACTGCAGGTTTCTTGGTAAAACTCTCTTACATAATCTAGTTTAAAAATTGTTGTTGTTATGGATCACAACTGGTGTCTAGTTAGTACTTTGTCTTTTCCTGTTGTAAAATGTACCTGCTTGGTCTATGCATCATACTAATACATGATATAAAATTGCCTTACAAAACATTATTGCCAATTATCCTAAACCGACATCTGTACATGAACTACATTTAATTAAATAAGCTAATCCTTTTGCCTTCCACAGCCACATCGGCAACAATAGAACAGCTAAAAGAAAGTGTATCAAAACTAAAACTACCCAAGGAACACACACCAAGAATCTAATTTAATCTAAGCAAAATGACGGATAGAATAAAAAAGTTTTTTCAAAAAAAGAAGACGGATGCCAGATTCAAAATGGCAGGACCTGGCCACAAACTGAGTGAGTCCACTCTTAGCAGCCAGAGTTCCAATGTCCAATGTTCGAAAAAGGAGGTTCCAATGAAAAGGTCTGGTTTGTCGGAAGAGAGTAAGGTTGCCGCTGAAGCTGCTTTGTCTAGGCTTCAGCAGAAAAGGGAGAATCCATCCTTTAATACTTCATTGGCTGCTATACAGGTTAGTTATAACTTATACCTAGGTGGCTTTTATAGGCTGTGTAAATGAGTAGACTTATCACTTGACGGCAAGCAATCAGCATTGCCCATGAACATCCGCAACTGCAGAATTAAGTGCATTTCTGACCTTTGAGATTAACTATTCGGTGTCACTCACATGCCGAAACAGAAAGTTTAAGTGTAGGAGAGTCATGCTTCGGCACGAATGGCTCTACCGGAGTCATACCACGGCCTCACAGAAAACCGACGTGAAGCAACGCTTGCGTTTTGTTTCGTCGTGTGAGTGAGGTTACCGGAGGCCCAATTACCCTCCCCTTCCCCAATCTCCCCAATCCCTGAATCCCCAACGATCCTCAAACTCCTCCCCAAATGGCCGGTATCGCACTTGTAACGCCTCTGGTGTTCCAGGTGTCCATGGGCGACGCCGATTGCTTTCCATCAGGTGATCCGTCTGCTCGTTTACCGGCTTATGCCATAAAAAAAAAACACAACACAAGTGTTGTTTCATGCATGCTTATAAAAAACATCACATCTTGTGTTTCGTATTATTTCGGATTGATTAAAATTAATTTACTTATTAGTCTGTATTAAATAATTATAAAATAATAGTGCCTTGGAAAAAAGGTTGAAATGTGTAATTAACATAAGTATTTCAGTGACATTTGAAACTTCTCAAAGCATGACCAACTTGAAATTTTTCTGACATCGTCAAGATGTAACATTGTTTGGTTTTTGTATAAATATTATGATCAAAAAAGTAAGTTTATTCACTTTTATAATTCATCTACTGTAATAGTCTACATATATTGCTGGACTATTACTACATAAGACAGTTTGTCATGATCTCCACACCTGCCAGGCTGTTTGAAGGTCACAATTGAGCAGTGATGAAAGTTCCAGTTTATTAGACAGTGGTAGATTATAGGGTGTCGGCTCACGACACCCCATAATCTACCACTGTACTGTACTGTACGTGTGATCATGAAAACTGTTGAAGGCAAATACTCCGCTAACGCCGGTCACCGATGACCCCCATGGCGTTTAACGTGTTAATGTATTCTACTTCATCACGTATAGAAAGCTAACATCATCTTTTTTCTTTGTAGGCCCAAGTAAAAAAAGAACTAGAGAATGAGCGAGCCAATCAGATGTCAGAGGCATCTGCCTCTAAGTCAATGACTACACCATCTGAAATTCATAAGAGAGAGATAGAAGATGTGCCTAGGAACTATGCAGCCAGTGGCGTTTATTTCAAGTAAGTTCGAAATTTCTTTCAGCTTGATTGTACATACTTTATTACACTTATAATTGGGTACTTTTCTTAGTCAAAAATAAATTATTTCAACTGTTCAATACAATAAAATATTAAAATATAATAACACTTTCATTAATTTATTTTATGACCAACTTAATTTTAGTATTCTTCCAGCATTTTTTTTAAGAAATAAGTATGCTGTTTGACGCTAAAAAAACGTTACGTCACAATACAAAATTCATAGAAAACTGTCGTTTTTAACAGTTCGAAAAAAGTATTGACTTTGATTAGTTGGCAAGTACCCAATTAATAGACTAACGCCTGGCCTTAGTACGAGTTTTACGTTTAAAGTAATCGTAACAAGTACGCGTTCGGCGCTGTGATTGGTTGCTTCATTGGTGCCGGCCAGTCGGATCGCCGAACGCATACTCGTTTCGAATACTTTCAACTTAAAAGATACTCGTACTAAGGCCTCTGATTGGTTGGTTTATTGGCGCCAGCCAATCAGAGTGCCGAACAAGTACTCGTCTCCTCAGAATACTGAAAGTCTACTCAATTTTAAATTGTACTTAAATATCGTGCCATCTTTGTCATTTTACGAAGAATTTGCAGTGACAGAACTAGGTACTTATGGCGCGACTTGAAATTTAGTAGTGTTTCAGTATTCGGGCATAAAAAACAAAAGAAAAGAAATTTGATTAGGTGTTAAAGACAGCCATGTTGTTTTAGTTCATATCTCTTGTGTAAACAAGTTTACTTATCTTAATGGTAGGTACCTATTTAATATTCAAAAACATGTATTTCTACTTTTGTTCTGTTCTAAAATCTATTCTATTGTATGAAGTCGCTTTCATATAGTACTTTCTAACCGCTTGAAGACTCAATCGAAACAACTTTATAGTTATACTAGCGGACCCGACAGGACGTTGTCCTGTAATAATAGGTATAGATAAATAACTTAGAAACTGACTGCAGCGCCATCTGCCGGGCTGATTTGTGAATCTAAACCATTCCCAGATCCCCTTGAACACACACAAAAAATTTCATCAAAATCGGTCCAGTCGTTTGAGAGAAGTTCAGTGACATACACACTCACAGAAGAATTATATATATAAAGATACTGTATCAGTTTTGTTTTTCGTTATTTTGTTTGTCTCCTAGTATTATAATATTGTAATTGTTACCTTTTTGTGTTTGTTAATATGTATAATTGGTTTAAAACCAATAAATAAAAAATCAAATCACACATCAACAGCCTATAAGTGGCCACTGCTGACCAAAGGCCGCTTCTCACACGGAGAAGATTTGAGCATTAACATCACGTTTGCTCAATGCGGGTGCGATTTCAAACTTATAATTAGACATTTTTTCGTTTGTTTCTTCACGATGTTTTTTTAACCGTTTGTCAGTGGTGTCTAATAATCTTAGAAAGTACATATAACTCGAAAAACGGCACATTGGTACTTGCCTTTGATAGGTTTCGAGCCCGCACCCTCATGTATGAGAAGCGGGCGTCTTAAATAAAAAAATAATAATTAATTAATTAGGTGTACGAACTGTAAAGGGTTCTTTCCGGCCCTTTATGTTATTTAATTTTTTTTTCTATATTCTTTTTGATGAAAACATTATGATAAATCGAAACCTGCCTATCATTGAGAGTGAGTCAGATTAGATTAATATGATTAACAGATTTTCCTGTGTCTGAGTATGGACTATCAAACACAAAACATAACATAACATCACGCCTTTTACCCTCGAAGGGGTAGACAGAGGTGCACACAGAAGTACTACACACTTTTCACTATTTATGTTATGAGTCCCATGTGATAGGGGGTGAGCCTATTACCATATACCGGGCACAATTCAAGACTCCGTGCTACTACTGAGATTTTTTAAAAACCTAGTAATACTTTGCCCGACCCGGGAATCGAACCTGAGACCCCTTGTCCGGCAGTAGCACTTGCGACCACTCGGCCAACGAGGCAGTCAAACACAAAAATTATTATTTAATACGGACCAAACGTTTGCTGAAGTAAAGTAGGCATTACATTTTCCAGAACTGATGTATTTTTCAAACTGTTCCAGATGTCCACTGATAAGTAATGATATACTTCCCCGGGACGAATGGAAGAAGAACATCAAAACGTTCCTGTACGAACAGCTGGAGGAGGAGAGAGGTCTCACTGCCTGTCTCATCATACAGTCCTGTAATAATAATAGGGAAAAGGTAAGATCTAAGAGAATAGAGTTTTAATGCAAAAGGGATGCGATCAGCGTCGCCCACAAATATTGGCATCACCAGTAGATTTACAAGTACGTTGCCGGCCGCCTTTTGAGAATTAGGGATTTGGAGGTGTGAAAGAGCATTCGGCTTCCGGTAAGATTTTAGACGCTGGTTTTTCGGGCCTATGCTGTTATAATATAATTATGTCACACTATTACATACTAACCGACAAGCTTACATGAAAAGGCAGATGACTGTTGAGACGAAAGAGGTGTGTCAGAATTGTTGCAATTCCACAGTCTCTGCCTACCCCCATGAATGACGGGCGTGGGGTTGTACTAGCTGTACCCACGACTTCGTCCGCGTTGAATAGTGATTCTCAGCCCCTCTCCCGTAGGTGGTAGCGTGATAATATAGTATGGCCTATATGTTGACCCTGTTAGTAATATTCATGCAAAATTTGATGTGAATCCATGTAGTACTTTTTGAGTTTAGCCCTGACAAACAATACAGCCCTGATAAAATAGAGACAAACGGACAAAAATTCCAATAACCATATTTTTGGCTTCAGTATCGCTTGTAGATCACACCCCAAGCATTCTTTTAAAAAAATATTCAATATACAGTTTTCACTTTTCTACGATTTTATTATTATATTTATAGATGTATAGATTAGGTACATAATAATGTTTGTTCCAGGTTGACACATGCGTGGAGACATTGTGCAAGTACTTAGAGAATATAATAACGCAACCTGAAGAGGAGAAATTTCAGAAAATTAGGATGAGTAACAGGTCAGTCACCTTATTATCTCACTTTGGGTAGGTCGACCTATAACGAACTATCTATCCAACTCCACCATATAGATGGTTGGCAGGCCACAACTGTGCGCTTCTCTCGCAGCTTTCTACCCCGCACAGCGAATCTGGAGAATGATCTGTCGTCAGCAGTTTTTCCGAACCGATACGACCTTTAAACCTTTAAGAAAAGAGCGTAGGTCTTCCTTTTTAAAAGGCCGGCAACGCACCTGTGCGTCCTCTAGTGTTGCAGGTGTTCATGGGCGGCGCTAATCGCTTACCGTCAGGTGATCCGTCTGCGTGTTTGCTTCCTATTCCATAAAAAAAATGTAATAAAATCTAAGAATCTAAATTAACAGTTCTAATTGTGAATTCATTATGTAACTTAGCAATTTTATCTAGATGAGATGACACTACAATATTGTAATACAATTGAGCTGGTTTGATAGTGAAATTGGAAGGTAGCTGATGGAACCATGGACTACCTAGAAAAAATATAGTTTCTGCTCATCAATTATGACCATTTCTACTGACAAAGACATATTGCCTGTGATACAGGGTTTTCCTAGTACAGGCATCTAACTGTATAAGGTCTACATCGCTTATTAAGATAATATTTTGTATTTTGCTAATTTTTATCATCAATAAAGATTATTATTATAGTCAAAAGCGTGCTTTTCGGTGTATTTCTTAACTAAGAATTATGTTATTATTTTCAGAGTATTTGCAGAACGAGTCCAACCTATAGAAGGTTCGATGGAGCTGCTACTGGCAGCAGGTTTCATACAACAGAAGGTTCCAAATGCAGACGGGATGGAAGAGGATTTCCTCGTCTTCCAGAAGGAGAATGTGCCCTCTGTTGAGAGTTTAGTGGTAATTATGTTGCTACTTAGCTATTACGTCAACAGCAAGTATCTACTTCTAGAATGTGGACATCTTCTACAAAAGATGGGTTAATACAGGTGTCAACACTGATATAGCACGCTGGAAACTTATTGATACTTGAATTTTTGATAAAAAAAAATATTTGAAATAAATAAAAAAAAACCATCAAATAAGTTTTCAGCGTGCTATATCAGTGTTGACACCTGAAAGATTTTTTAATTTGCCGCCTTTTTCATGGGAATAGACTCGCTTGACAGACTCTAGGGATGATGACGGAGTATGAAAATTAGTAATCTATGTAGTCCGTCAGGTAATAAGAAAATATTACACACATAGTGTGACTGTTCTTTCGAATAACTGCGCGGTTGGCATTGTCGCTGAGTGATTTGCTACTGCGCAACATTCACGTTCTATAGTGGCACGAAATATTTCTTAGTGATCCACAAATTATTTGTTCCTCGTCTGGGTGTTAGGCTCTAGACAGACGGACCGCATTTCAACTGCAAACTAAACGAGCAGTCCGATTGCAGTTCTATTGCAGTCATGACCAAACAGTTGCAAACCAATCGAGCAGTCCGATTGCAGTTCTATTGCAGTCATGACCAAACGGTTGCAAACCAAACGTGCAGTCTAATTGCAGTTCTATTGCAGTCATAACCAAACGGTTGCAAACCAAACATACAGTCTGATGGCAGTTCTATTGCAGTCATGACCAAACGGTTGCAAACCAAACGTGCAGTCTAATTGCAGTTCTATTGCAGTCATGACCAAACGGTTGCAAACCAAACATACAGTCTGATGGCAGTTCTATTGCAGTCATGACCAAACGGTTGCAAACCAAACGTGCAGTCTAATTGCAGTTCTATTGCAGTCATGACCAAACGGTTGCAAACCAAACATACAGTCTGATGGCAGTTCTATTGCAGTCATGACCAAACGGTTGCAAACCAAACGTGCAGTCTAATTGCAGTTCTATTGCAGTCATGACCAAACGGTTGCAAACCAAACATACAGTCTGATGGCAGTTCTATTGCAGTCATGACCAAACGGTTGCAAACCAAACGTGCAGTCTAATTGCAGTTCTATTGCAGTCATGACCAAACGGTTGCAAACCAAACATACAGTCTGATGGCAGTTCTATTGCAGTCATGACCAAACGGTTGCAAACCAAACGAGCAGTCCGATTGCAGTTCTATTGCAGTCATGACCAAACGGTTGCAAACCAAACGAGCAGTCCGATTGCAGTTCTATTGCAGTCATGACCAAACGGTTGCAAACCAAACGAGCAGTCCGATTGCAGTTCTATTGCAGTCATGACCAAACGGTTGCACACCAAACGAGCAGTCCGATTGCAGTTCTATTGCAGTCATGACCAAACTGTTGCAAACCAAACATGCAGTCTAATACCAGTTCTATTGCAGTCATGACCAAACGAGCAGTCCAGTGGCAGTTCTATTGCAGTCATGTCAACTGCGTTCAGACTGCATTCGAACTGTATTATTTGCAGTTTAGTTGCAGATGAATTGCGGTTCGTCTGTTCAGAATCTTAGGTGTATATTTTTAAACAGACCCAGTACACACGAGAAAATCGTAGTTTTGTCAAATGAAAGATTGTAGTATTTGATTATATGGACGTTTGGATATGTATGCCCGAATACTGAAAGATTTTAAAGTTGAAGTTTAAAGTTGTACTTATATCGTTTCATCTCTGTCATTTTACAAAAATGTTATAGTGACAGAACTATATTTAAGTGCGACCTATAATTGAGTACGTTTTGAGTATTTCAGCGTAAAAAATATAACTTATATTTTGTTCCAGACCCTAATAGACGGTCTAAGAACAGCAGAGCCGATACAACTAGAACTAGACAGGAACCTCCAAGTGTTGCTGCCGTCGCAGGCCGCTAACAAGGTGCAGCTGCCACCTTCGTTCTATGCACTGTCGCCTGAGGAAATTAAGAGGGAACAGCAGTTGAGGTGAGTGTTAAAAAGTTTATATTTTTTATTAAAAAGCTTGTGAACGTATGTAGATAGAAAGAAAAACCATTTATTTAGCTACGACACACAACAAGAATTTAGAAACACAAAAAAAAGCCTATGGTGCGTCGCAGCGCAAAAGGCTGGAGCTCAGCTTAATACCGTGGACCGGGCACAGAGGCTCGAGCCCACGGCGCTGATTTTCAGCACCAGCCCGTTATAGTACGTACTAGTTAAACACCTACGGTAACGCTGTTCGGAGCACAGCATGATGTATATAATAAGGTACTTACACTATATCTTAAGTTTTTTAATGGAATAAGCCGGTAGACGAGCAGACAGATCACCTTATGGTAAACAATTGGCGTCGCCAATGGACACCTGGCACACCCGAGATGTTACAAGTGCGTTACCGGCCTTTTAGGAATTGAAAATTTAGGATTGTGGGGGATTCGGGGATCGAGACTTGAGGCTGAGAAGGGGTAATTGGGCCTCCGGTAACTTCACTCACGCGACGAAACAACGCAAGCGTTTTTTCACGTCGGTTTTCTGTGTGGCTTTGGTATCACTCTGGTCGAGCCGACCCATTCGTGCTAAACCATGGTTCTCCAACACTTACAAGTACACTTGCAATATCAAAAATATTCCAAATCCGATTTGCAGAGCCCATTACGTAAATAGTTATTAAACAGTGGGTTGAACTCAGTTTTTGATGCAACTTCACTAAAGATCTTGCATACATACACCAACAGCCTATAAGTGTCTACTGCTGTGCAAAGCCTCGTCTCACACGGAGGTTTGAGCATTAATTGACACTACTCATGATTTCAAACTTCGAATTAGAAATTATAAGCCCAGTTTCCTCACGATGTTTTCCTTCACCGTTTGGTCAGTGGTGTCTAAATAATCGTAGAAAGTACATATAACTGGGAAAAAGTCACATTGGTACTTGCCGTTGGCAGGTTTTGAACCAGTACCTACCCTCATTCATGAGAAGCGGGCGTCTTAACCTGCGGGCCACCACGACACTGCGCGATCATACTGACGCATAATTTTATATTATTTTTCGTAAGTGCCTGTCTAACGTAACACCCAAAGTCGTCTATAGTTTTCACCCCATAAATCCCATGTAATAAGCAATGAGCCTGTTGCCATATTGGCCACATTATTAAACTTCGTACTATTATTGATAAACTTTCAAAACTACGAAAATAACAATTTCCCTAACCCCCAAATCAAACCCGAGACCCCTTGCTTGGCAGTCGCTTTAGAAACCATTCGGCCAACAAAGTATACTTGCCGCGGAGAACGTAAAAGGTTACCGGGTTCCAGCTCGAAGTGCAAGAGTAAGAACGGGGTGGTTTTTAGTCAGTAAGACTCGACACTCCATCCCGCCTTTTCCAGACGGGAGATTCGATCATTTTCCCCTTAAAAAAAAGGGTATTTCTCTTTCAAACAATTAAATTTACCTATTTTTTTTTCTCTAGAAACCAAGTCTCCAATACGATGTTGTCGCCTATACTGCCAATGTTCCTACTTATTTTCTTTATTTTTGTTAACAGACAAGAAGCTATAGAAAGGAGTCAAATGCTCAGAACTAAAGCTATGCGAGAGAAGGACGAAATTAGGGAAATGCGTAAATACAAGTTCGCCATCATAAGGGTACGCTTCCCAGATGGAATACTGTTACAGGTAATAAAACTTTTTGAATCTTTTTTGTATTTTGTACATAGGCTGAATAGCGGATTCCCTTTGCCTTATTTCGAACTGTCATCTGTCAAAGTTGACGTATGTCAGTCATTTTTGCAAGGTGATGGTTTAGTTAATCAAAATGTTTCCTAAAGTTTAAAGTAGAAATTAATTCGTATAATGCATCAACAGTTAGAAGAAAATTATTTACCAAACATGAATATCGCATTATGCCGTAATAAAATATGCTTCCCTTAAAATAAATGTCACATACTCATAAATAGCATTCAATAGGTTAGACAGAAAACATCATGCCCTTAGAAGCAGGACATAACAATAACACTCATTACTAAATTAATTTCTTTTTATTTTTTCAGGGAACATTTTCAGTTTACGAACGCTACAATGATATACACGAATTCGTCCGAGAAAATCTCGAACATGACCTTCCATTCGTGCTAAGCATGCCAACAGGTCATAAGGTGACGTTAGAAGAAGATGCGAATAAGACCCTTATTGACCTACGATTAGTACCGGCGACAATACTCACATTCGCTTGGCACTCGTCTGTTGCTGAACAAATTCATAATAGTCCGAATAAAGACGTGTTTTTGAAGCCCGAAGTCATGGTTTTGGTGCAAGAAGTGTAAGGTATATTGTTGTTGATGCATTGCGTTTAGGGTTAGTGCAAAATGGGCCTTATGTTATACACGTTATGGTATAGTTTTATGTGTCAACTACTCGGGTAGATGCAAAGATTGTTTGAAGCATGGAGTCATACTTTTAGTAGATCAGAATGTTCTTCTAAAGTTCAAATATTATCCAGAATTCTATAAAAATTGAGTTCATTTTGCCCTAAACCTTAACTTATTTATTTAATTATGTATGTAACTTAGACATAGATTATCCATTTTAGTTGGAATGTTGGCCTTTACATATTTATGAAGTATAATTTAGCAATTGGGATGATTCCTTAATACAAGCTTTTAATAAATACCTACTTAAAATATTCATATTTTATTGATTTGATAATGTACTTAGCATGACGTCAGAATGCAATCTTGTAGTAAAATAAAAATAGTTACATTTTTTCATTTCAAAAAGTTTGGACCTCGTATACTTATGTAGGCTACTCACCTTTCGAAATCTTGATTACATTTTAAAACTAATATTTAAAAAGATAAATAATAATTAAATGATTCTACGAGGCTTTTTAGTTAGTGGTCATCCATAAATTACGTCCCACGAATCCCCGTCCTTGACCGTACGATCAAAGGTCAAAAGTCACCGTAAGACTACTATTGTTTGCGCTGCAGCGCTTATACACATGCACACGCATATTTTTATCCGTGTGCGCACGCGTGCGTGTGTTAATGCGTACGCACGCGTTTTTATGCACATTAATATGAAATTACTAACGCATTGCCGTGTGAAAATCACTCACGGTGGCAGTGGACTTTTGACCTTTGACTGTACATTTGTATGACCCTTCCTTAGCGTGACGTCACCGTATGCAAACCATTATAGAAATTATTAAATTATTTTTTTTTTAATGTTGCTTAACTCTAGGATCGTCTCCTGTGTCGTGGGTGCGTTTACAAACAAAAGTTCACATACACCTCACACCCAGACCCGGAACAACAATCTGTGGATCACACAAAGCGTTGTTCCGTGCGGGAATATTAAATATTAATTAAAGAACATACCAAAAAAATTGGTACCTTATATTCACATATACACAGATAGAGTATTATGTTTTTAAGGTTCTCGTATATTAATAGTTTCAAGTTCGTGTTTTTACACAGATTCTAATAGTTTTTGTAATGTGACGTCACAACGTTTATTGACCCCCCTCCCCCCCTTGTTACACAATGTAACACTTCGTCGACCCCCTCCCTCCCACTTAACGATGTGACGTAATTTATGGATGGTCCCTTACTAGCTTGGTTATAGAGGGTCAAAGTCTTGGATTCAACTCCTAATAAAATATATATATTGGCATAATATTCTTTATATTCATATTTTAGTATGTTCACCTTAAAAAAAATTGTATATAGAATTAGAGCTTGTTGTATAGAAGCCTAAAACTATATGTTGAATATGTGATAATTATATAAACGAACTGAACGCGTGTTATGTATGTATGTATATCCTGTAAGTGAAATTAAATAATAAACTAAATGTTAGATGTTTTAAATCTTCACCTCTTACCAAAATGCAAAATTGTTATTCTTACTCACAATATCAAGTATTTAAGATTGAAAATGGCTTAGCAACTTTTACAAAGGACTTAAAAAATATATCTTTGCACTAAATCTGTAGGTTTCAGCAATTTTTAGTCATACATATAACAAATGTAATATAGACTAAAATGGCTTAGTAATATACATTAAATGTATTTCTCTATCTAGATCATTTCATTACGCATGTATGTTATCTAGTGTTATAGAAGTATTTTTGATTAATATGTATTTCTTGTATGTGTGTCACTGAACTCCTAAACGACTGGATAGATTTCGATTATATTTTCGGTATTGATTCACGATCATGAAGTAGTGTTGATTTGAAACAAAGTTCTGTTAATTTTATTACTTAGTTTAACAATTTATTTTTTTCTTTACCCTCTTAGGGTCAATTTATACTAGGGCAGAGTCGAAGCGCATCGAAGCATCTATTCAAAACGGAACATAACAAATTCAACCCAACAGCGTAACGCACGCATTGCTTCTAAGACTTTAAAAAGACGCGCGTGACCAACGCTGATTGGTGCGCGCACATTCCCGCGTATCCACGCGCCTACTAGCGAATGGATTCGGACAAAAAATTAATTTACTGGTGCAAAAATATGAATGCCTATATAATCCATGCAGTTAATGCCCATTACCTACTACTCGTCAAAGAGTGTGCGCGTATACTCTCGAATACGCGCGCATTCGTGCGGCTTCGCTTTAGTTGTGAAGAATTTGACGCTTCGGTGCGCTTTGACTCTGCGGTAGTATAAATCGACCCTTACAGATTATTTTTTTATAAAATTGAGATCGTTTATGACCCCTTCTTTATACTAAGTGGCAGATAACTTGAGAAATTCCGAACTGAGCCACACTTGGCTGCGTTTAAGTAATGATTTTATAAAATTATGCATTTTACGAATTTGATATAGGTACAAAAAGCCATTAAAAATCATCATTTGAACGTACTCAATATACAAACAAACGACCTTTGTTTTCTTTATTATTAAGTCGATTTCTTTTTTAGTCGATTACAATTTGGTCAATTTTTCATTCAAAATTCATTTCCATAATTTTTTTCTCTCAAAACATAGGTAGGGGGCGATTTGAGTTAACCAATTCCATATACTGCGACAGGGCATTGGCGATGAATAAGTTGCTCCGTTGTGTGAGCATAAAGTCTGCCATTTTTAGAAGTTGTTCGTTGCGACACGTCAAGCTCCTAGCACTGCAAGCACTCCTCGTATGCTTAAGGGAAGTGTACTATTTATTATTTTAATGTAATTATTAACATCTATATGTGTATATTGAGAATTCTTTAATGAAATAAAAACTGAAGTTGTATGTTTTGGTTTTATTTATTGCTTTACTTACCTATGTATTCGCAGTCCGCCCTACTATAAATTTAATAATATGTTCAACTATTTATTCGTCTTGCTTTGTGGGCAGAGCCGTATTATCGCTAAAGCAAACTACAAAAGTATCTAGGGCGCCAATTTACAGAGGACGTGCCTAATAGTCATCGAGTGGCAGATTCTCTTTGGACAGAGGACCTACAAAATTAGGGACACCTATAAAGCGCTCTGTAAATTTAACCCGTCGTTTCTACGTGATCTACGCGAGACAATGTATTTTCTATTATGCCTTATATACCGGCAGTCAAAGAGGTTACTCCGCCTCTGTTTACTACACCATCCGAACTTCGAACCTTATAAGTGCATTCATTTTCTTACTATGTTAGTTGAACTCGCGTATTCAATAGTAAATTACTATAATACACACACGCGTAAGTGTTATAGGGCGTTAACAAGTCATAATTAGTTTTATATTGAGACCAATAAGACCGGCACATGTATCCGCAGAAATCTAGGGCTAAGTCAGTTTTATAAATCGATTTTCAACCTTATCATAATGTATTAAACTTCTATAAACCATCCTATCCTTTAATACACTTATTTGCAGGTTTAAGGATTTAATATCGAAATGAAAGACGTGCATTTTGTATCATTTTATTTACACTTATAACTACAAATTGTGATCAAAATTGGACATTGAATAATTATTAAATTGTACTTCTATTATTGTGTAGTGATAAAACATTGAATTGAAAATATTTTCCCTGGCTTGCGTGAGCGCGACCAGAATTACTTTCAAGAATAAATTACATACACTTTATATTCTCTTAAACCCTCATTACATTTTCAACTGAATTCAAAAAAGGAGGTTTCTCAATTTGACCATATTATGATGTTGTTTTTTGGCCATGAGGTCCCTTTTTAACAAAATTAAAATCAAATAATTTCATTAACCTTGCAGGCTACTGCCGGCTCCCATGATTCGTTTACACATTTTCTTACTTATGTCATCTTGAATAGGCATTCTTAATCAGTCATATAAAAGACCTACGCAGAGAAGGGACTATGGGACTATTACCGAGGCTCCGACCCGAAGCAGGAGTTGGATCGGTTTTTAGTCAGTAAGACTGACTGGCATGACAGTGATATTGCCTTTCGTCTCGTCTTACCCAGGGCGGGAGGTGACATTCGATAATTATCCTCCCTCAAAAGGGGGAGTGAGGAGCCAGATCCTCATTAGATCTTTTTCATAAATAGGAATAACGTTTATTTGAGAAAAATAATACAATTTTATCGTTGCCCGATTTCACACTAGGATTCTTTCATTGTCTCATGTAGCCCAAGCTCCGTATAAAAAATTTGATTTCAAACATGTATGTACATTCGTTCCTATGTAATAACACTAATAATAATAATTAAAAAAGGAACAAAGTTGACAATTCTGATAATTCTCAATAGATTTATGTCTACAGCGGTCAAAGTCCCTCGTCTGCGCAGGCCTAAAGATACACTATACACCTACCTATTTCATGTTTTTATCAATTTCATAGCCTTAATTCTATATTTCTCTCTTCTTGTTGTTTTCCATTCAATCAGTACCCAACGACATTCAACTGAATGTCAGCATTCCATGCTGATAACTGACAACTAGCTTAGCTGCCATTCCAAAATAAATAAAAAATTAAATCTATTGATACAGTTTAAAACTTTGAAACAGTTAATTCTATGTATATACATTTAAAATGTTTAGTAAAATACTTCGGTAATAAGGTTGATGCCAATTTTTTTAACATTCCTAATTCCAAATATCAGACGACTTACTTCTAACATATAAATTACACTGATTAAAATTTGTAATGTGACGATGACGTCACTTCTACGTTCAAAATGTGAGTGACGTAGGTTCTCACTCCAAAACTTTGATTCTTCGTAGTCTATGGGTAGGTAGATGTCTGTATTTTTTGTTCTTTATCTAAAAAACTAAATAGACACTACATACCCTGACAAGAGACTTGGAACATGTACGTTCCGAATCTATACTTAAAATTAACTAACCTTGAAGGTAACAGTTATACAATACAATTTTTTTATTAAAAATTGTCACATCAAAAAATGAGCTTTAGAACAGTCTCCAAATTTCTCTTATTTACAAAGAATTATAAAAAAATACAAGATAAATCTATTCTACTAAAATCGCACACTTGATGGTACCGCGTCATCGTTCATTTCTACCGCTGTTTTTTCCTATACATCCGTTGAATCTTGAAGTACGTCTTAGGGTATTTCTAAGCCGATTTTAAACACACTACTGCTACTACTATTACTTACTTATTACAAAAATGTATTCTACTATAAAATATTTATAAGAACATGCACACACCTAATAAGCTGAGACAAATGCAAAAACGTAACCCTTCTTGACACAGTCGGGCAAAAAGGACCATAATATTGTAATGGTAACACTGTAGTACTCTTGTGATATTATGACCATGGTGTAGGTAACGTATGGTCTTTTTGACCAATGAACAAACTACATATTATACCTACATGCTAAATGAATCAAATATTTTTATACTCCGAAAGCGTAGACCGCGATAAGCAATAGATACTTATTTACGGTATCTATAGAACATCACACCTATTTCACTGTTAAAGTAGGTACCTAGAACTTAGAACGAAGGTGATATATGAAATGTTTCACCACATATCAGAAAAATTATATTACCTATTGACATGCTCCGTATTATTATTAGACACATAAAAGCTGAAAAGTCCAATAATACTTTAGCCTACCGATTGAAATCTGTAATACGTGGCAAAACGACTACGTACTTACTGCAAGTAAGGTGGGTAGTAAGGTGTGACAAAAATAAACATTACAGCCACAGCTTCTACGGTATTGAAAACATCCAAAAAGCGGTCCTAAGTACAAGAAGGACGTATAGTCCAGGCCATTGCAATACTAGGCGGAACAGATCGAACACATTCATTAGGCGCCACTACGCAATAAAAAATCTTAGACGACCTGGGAGGTTGTATCTTCGAAAACACTTAACAAAGTCTTTAGTATTATCAATGTACAGTTTAAGACTTAAACTATGATTTTGAAAGCTTACAACATACCTTTTTGTTTTTAATGGCCATTTCCACCGACCCCTAGACTATCTCTTAACTAAATGTTACTTAGCGTGACGTATCTCCTACATCCCCTTGTACTGTTAGGTGTCGATTATAGATGTGTGAAAATGATGATAAATGTCACCTACCTTAGAGATGCTTGGGGGTTTCTTAAATTTAGGAGAGATTGCTGAAAATGGTCAAAAGTGTACAAATTAAAATACTTTTAAGACTTTGAGAATAGGTTTTCGAAAAGACAACCTTTATCAAACTTGATCATACACAATTTCCCAACATAGCTCTTATCACAGCATCAAATCTGATATTTAAAATATCCACCTAAAGACGTAACCATCTCTTATAAAAACCGCATATAAAACCCCATTATTTATAAGGATTAATATTTTACAGACACCAGGTAACAGAAGGCCTAATGCGACTTGCGAGTATTTATTAAATAACGCGATTGAACCAAACAAAATCGACCAATGGAGTCTATCGTATTTTTGGTCACCAGATAGCTGTGAACTTCTAGTTCTTCGTCCAATAGAATTATAATAATAATAGCTAGTGTATAATAGCTAGAATAATAAAATAGGTAGTGTAACACCATTGGACGTTCAACATTTGACAGCTACAGTGATTGGATAAAATAATATCTTGCTACATTTGCGCTATCTCGTGACTAAAAAATACTAAAAATACGGTATACGCCCCTAACGCCCCCATGTAGCCAGAGTTAATGTTAACATTGGTAACATTAAGCAACCAATCAGAGGGCTATACGGGGTGACGTTCTGATCGCGCGTTAGCATAAAACCAAACTCACACTAGGCCCTCTCATAAACTTGAACCTATAAAACTGCGACCTTCTACCAAGCTTGGAAATTATAACAAACACCTCTTATGTAGAGGCCCTTATTCCTGCAGTGGATTTTCACGGGCCGTTGATAAGGCCAAGAATACACAAGGGGACAAATGTCCTGTGACACGTATCGCTACAGACTTTGGGTGGAATAGTGCGATGTTGCCAGACTTTGGTTGACATCTCTGGCAACTTCAACGTCGCAGTGGGCATAATCGCGCGTTGTGGCCTATATTATACAATATGTAACAAAAACCCTGTTGTTCCGTCTACCTACGTTTTAAGAATCGGCATACGGACGTAATAAAGTAAGTCATTTATAAAAATTGTTCAACAAAAATAATTAAATTCAATATTTAATTATTAATATTTGTAATGTTTAAATGATTTCTCAATACAGCATGAAGACTAGACATACAAGTAGAACGTTACCGCCAATCTCTTTGATCAGTGCCGGTACGCGGCGCACCGCGACGCCGCGCTGCACGTAGATTTAGATATGTGATTTTGACACCTCGACTAGCCAATGATTTTTCTTTTAATTATAATTTCACTAATGATGTGCTTTTAGATAAACGTATATGCCCCTGTAAGGAACAACAGGGTTTTTGTTACATATTGTATTACTTATATATCAGGTGAAATCAGACGGTATTGTTTTACATGTCGTACGACATTTGCATCCAGTGTATACTAAGCTTAATGAGGACTAATAACAAGATTTTCCTTCAATATTTAGATGTGCTAGCAAGAAAAAGCGTTGCAAATAAAGAATCTGGAATTTCTGACATTTCTTGCTTTTCTGATACTTCTTGCACTTCTTGCTTAACAGGAACATCTGCATCACTGGTCGCATACCACGCTTACGCATATACGGTACTTACTGGTACGGTATACACGGCTTGTGGTACTTACGCACCTACGGTAAAAAATCCGTATTGAAAACAAAGTAATACCAACTTTTGAAAGCCGGAGCTGATGGATACATGTTCATGATTTTTTTTAAAGGATTCGTTTTATCTTCGAAATTGAATAACTATAAAACCATGAAAAGCAAAACCAAAGAAAAAAAGCATATTCTAACTATTATGAAATAATAAGAAACTAAATAAAAAATCAATTACATATCATATTTACGCATTACTGACGTATACTCTTTCTCATAAAGTCGTCGAGTCCCAGTGTGGCTCGAAATTAGTCGAGTATTTATATACTATACGCGAGTAAAATATCCTGTCTTTTAATCACCAAAAGGGGTAGGCACTGGTGCACAAATTCAATGTAATACTGACTTTATAGAAGTTATTTTATGAGTCTCATAAAATGGGTATAATTCTCATGTAGAAGACTGACAATATAGAAGTTGAATCTAGCAAACCGTAAAATAAAAAATAAAAATCAACATCAAAAAATAAATTACAATAATTATAATTATAATACAAAACTAAAAATGCACAAAAATAAAATTGTAAGCAAAATAAAAATACATTTATTTATATTTATACATTAATTTTTTGACCTTCGACAAGAGATCCTATTTGTTGATCAAACTCCTCATTATTGATGGCGACGCAGTGGGTGCAGTCTTCCGTTTTATAAATCCCTACGAGACGGTTGGACGCTTCAAACATATTGTATCTGAGCGAAATAATAATGAACTGAGCGTTCTTCGTTCGATCCTGTAAATAAAAGAATATAATAACATATTTCAGTAACTCTTGAAAACTAATTGACTGAGAATCGCAATATAAGGTTGCTGGTCAAATCGGCCCTCAATTTTAACACGTTCTTAAGAATAGTGAATTGATTGTGTCACTAAATATTAACATAACATATAGGATCACGCCTTTTATCCCTGAAGGGGTAGGCAGAGGTGCAGATTACGGCACTCAATGCCACTGTACAATGTAACACCCACTTTTCACTATTTATGTTATTTAGTCCCATGTAATATGGGGTGAGTCTATTATCATATACCGGGACTCCGTGCTACTACGGAGTATTTTTTTTTAAATCCAGTAATACTTTGCCGATCCGGGAGTCGAGTCGAACCCTAGAGGACGGCGAGCATGGGTGACTCGCCGCCCGACCAGAACCAGGCCCGAGCATACGGCGCGTCGCGTTCTGCGCGCGCTTCAAGGAGCCATCAGACCACCACGGATGGGGCCTAACAGGGCTGATGCCGATACAAAGCCGCGGAAAACTTAACGGGTTACCGGGGCTCCGGTTCGAAGTGCCGTAGTAGGAACGGGGTGGTTTTTAGTCAGTAAGAGTCTGACACTCCCTCTCGCCTCACCCGCGGCGGGAAAAGACATGGGATGATTCTCCCCCTCAAAAAAAAGACCCTTGCCTGGCAGTCGCACTTGGGACCACTCGGCCAAAAAGGCAGTCTTATACAATTTAAAATAATGAAACTAACTCACCTTAATATAATTAGCAACAATAGACACATTCTTAAAGTCCAAGGCGGCGTCGATTTCATCCATAACGTATAATGGTGTTGGTTTGTAGTAATGTAATGCGAATACAAGCGCTAAAGATGATAACGTTTTCTCTCCGCCCGATAGATTTGATATATTCTTCCACGATTTGTTTGGGGGACGCACGCTGTAAAGGAAGGATATTATTATGTTTAATAATATTTTTAGTGGCCTTTTGAGGAATGAACCACAACAGTTTGAGCGGACCCGTTCTGAAGGCAGTACGCATGTGTCGGTTTACCGTCAGCTCAATTAACAGGTGTTTCCAGTTTTCCGACATAGGCTAAAACAGCTCCGATATTCTTGCTCAATTGCGCACTCATTGTCATATATCAAACAATACGACCGAACAAAACTGAGCTACTTCTAACTAATGATTCTAGCTAAGCAAAATCACCAATTTACCTGAAGATGATACCCTCAGTAAAGGGATCTAATGAGTCAACCAACTCTAACTCCGCATCACCACCCAATGTAATCATTTGGTACATTTCCTTCAATTTCCCTGTTATTGTGTTGAAACCTGGAACACATACACATACATACATTACTTCACGCCTGTCTCCCATTGGGGTAGGCAGAGGCTATGGAACGCCAATCGCTACGATTTCGTCACGTTTGTTTAGCGTCAAACAGAGTACTTATTTCTTAAAAATTTGCTGGAAAATCACTAAAATTAAGTTGGTCATATAATCAATTAATGAAAGTGTGATTATTTTTTAATATTTTTTTGTATTGAACAATCGAAATAATTTGTTTTTTATCAAGTAAAGTACCCAATACATACACTCATACACTCCACGAAAATAACAATATAATTGACGGCGCGGTGAATTGTGTGACGATGGCTAAGCTGGGCTGCCGTGCAAAGTGTTGCCATCGGTTCCCGCACGGAACAACTCTTTGTGTGATCCACAGATTGTTGTTCCGGGTCTGTGTGTCATGTGTATGTGAACTTATATGTTTGTAAACGCACCCACGACACAGGAGAAAATCCTAAGGCGATGCAACTTTTTTTAAATAGAAATACAATATACATACCAGCCAAGAAATCAGTCATTCGCTTCTTCCTCAACTCGTCATGTAATGCTCTCATCTCATTCCTTCTATTCGTTGTTTCATCTAACTCCGCCGCCCTACGTATATACAATTCCTCTTTCGCTTTGTAATCCTGAAATAATTAATTTCAGTTAGTTGGGTAAAGAATTATCGAGCCTTTACCTTGTGTACCTTTACCAACTTCACTCACAGGACAAAACACAACGCAAGTGTTGTTTCACTTCGGTTTTCTGTGAGGCCGTGGTATCACTCCGGTCGAGCCGGCCCAATCGTGCCGAAGCATAGCTCTCTCACTCTTAAAACTAAGCATAACAAAAAGAATATTACCTGTATAGCTTGTATATTAGGTTTCTTATCGCCGATCCTATTCTTCTGTGCAGTCAATCGGTTCCGTAACTCTTCTACATTAATTTCCGATAGTTCTTCAGATGTATGCTGTGCTAATGGCGTCACTGGTTCTAAATCTGGAATGCCTTCTATTTGTGGATCTTCCAGTTTTAACGTTCGTAGCTAGAAAATAAATAAGTACGTATATTAATTGTTATTGCGGTTATTATGTGTTATTAACTCGTTGAGTACCGTCATTATAGACACAATTAAAGAACGAAAGGTTGCGGTCACCGGTGACCGCTCGGTGTTTGACAGTTTAATTGTTTTTAGAGATGAACGAGTGGCTCCATCTAGAATTGGCTAGTTTCTTACAGTGTGTTTTTGGTTGGATTGAGATTATGGAAACCCTGATTTCGTAAAGGCTGTGGATGTTGAAGAACGCCTAATTGTATTCTGAGTGCCAAGCCCGAATAACCATCGCATTCGTAACGTAATAGTATCGAGCGCGTTCGGCGTTCTGATTGGCCGGCTCAAGTGAACCAACCAATCAGAACGCTTAACTCGCTCGATACTGTTACGATATGAATGCGATAGTTATTCGTGCTTGGCCCTCTGTATATTGTTTAACCCTTGGGGTGCCTGGTGGGTCTGACAGACCCATCACCTTAAAGAATCGACAATATTTTAGAAATTCCGTAATTACCGCCGCTGTATGCCTAAGTAGCTTCGTGATATAGACTGGCGGGTAGATTGCCGCCCCTCCAGCAATCCAAAACGCACACGCGTTCTAGTGACACGTGTTTTATGTGCGCTCGGGTCTGAGAAACCCGACCAGGCACGCGGCGTAACTTTTAACTGGTAAGCTATTATTTTTGTTTTCATTATTTATTTTGCATTGTGTGGTAAATTATTTATCTATATAATATTTTCGCAGTTAAATATGGCCAGGCGATTAACCAATACCGAAATAAGCCAAATTTTAGATCAAGATCCATGAAATTGAGGATGACGTGGTTTCCGATTAACCTAAGGAAGAGAATTAGCTCTCATAGAGGAAAACTCTCAGAGACACCAGCTAAAAGACAAGATGCTGCTATAAAAAGATGTTGTTACATATGCCTTGCTAAAAAGGGCCGTAAATCTAAGTACATTTGTATTTCTTGCACAGGTCATATTTGATTGGAGCACGCAAATTTATATGCGAAAATTGTCGCACAAATACTGAGTTAATCTTACTTTAGTAACCAAAGTTTATTCATCTATGCTTTATATTAATGTGAAGACTGATTTTGATCTCAATTAAAAAGAGTTTAATATTGTTAATTTAAAGATATGTTATTGTTACCCAAAAATGAGAGATTTTTTATTTGCTTAAGTAATAAAACTTTATTATAATATATTGTCGTCTTTTTTTCTCTTATTTCATTAATATATAATATTTAATATAAATTACAAACTGTTTATTATAGTTTATAACATCAAAATAAATAAAAATAACCATTTATATTTACGGGTCTGTGAGACCCACCAGGCATGCCATGTGATTTCTACCTACCAGGCTCCCCAAGGGTTAAACAAGCAAACGGATCACCTGAGGCCTTAATACGAGTTTCTTTTACATTTAAAGTAATAGTAACGAGTACGCGTTCGGCGCTGTGATTGGTTGGTTCATTGGCGCCGGCCAATCAGTGCGCCGAACGCGTACTCGTTTCGAATACTTTAAACGTAAAACAAATTCGTACTAAGGCCTCTGATGTTAAGCATTTGGCGTCGCCCATGGACACACGAAACACCAGAGGCGTTACAAGTCTGTTATGCGAATTGTTGTGGATTCAGGAGATAGTGGGGGGGTATGTTTTTTTTTAAGGGGGGAAAATCATCGAATGACTGCTCCCGCCTGGGTGAGGCGGAAGGGAGAGTCAGACTCTTACTGACTAAAAACCACCCCGTTCCTTCTCCTGCACGTCGAGCCGGAGCCCCGGTTACCCGTTAGGTTCTCCGCGACGGGGGAGGGGGGGGGGGGGTATGTAGGCCCTAGGTCCAGTATACATTATTCCCTTACCTCTTTTTCCCAATGTGGTATTTTGCTTGTACAGTCTTCTAAAGACTTTTGTGCTTTGACGACGTCATTCTTGCGTTCCATTCGTTCTCCTTTGATTTTATTCTCCGTACTTTGTAGTTTGTTGATCTCCTGTTTTAGTTCTTTGAATTCATCCGTACCTTCGTTTATTTGTTCGTCTAACTGTTGGGGAGGAACGAAATTGTTATTTAGACATTTTAATGAAAAAAAAAAAACAATATATTATACTTAAAATGTATAATTTTAAGCTAAGTTATAAAACATAAGAATAGGGTTTTTTTAAGGAGGGAAAATCATCGAATGACTGCTCCCGCCTGGGTGAGGCGGAAGGGAGTGTCAGACTCTTACTGACTAAAAACCACCTTCTCCTGCACGTCGAGCCGGAGCCCCGGTTACCCGTTAGGTTCTCCGGAACATAAGAATAGGGTAGTTGCCTAAATTTTATTTTAATGTCCGTCTGTCTGGTACATTAATTAAGAACATTAAACACGTATGCTTTCTTTTCTCACAAAATTAAATACTTTCGACGATATAATAATCTGAAATATCGTGTAACGTCACAATACGCTACATTTTGTAGCACTTTGTGACGTAACGACCTCCCACTCCTAAACTTAACTCCATTTTGAAATGAATGATTAAATAAAAGAATGATTCATCTGAAAATCGAACTAGGTATTTAACACACAACAATCGTGATAATGTTTTTTATATATAAAGCTTAGCTTACTTCTTCCAGTTCCTTTTCGTATTTCCCGCTATCGAGAGTGAGTTGTTTCTTCGTATTATTCAATGTTTCGATATTCCTCTCGGTGTCTCGAAGATCTGTCTCCATCTGGTTTATTTTGTCTTTTGATTTCTTTGCGTTTCTGCGGACAAAAGATAAGATTTATAAGCAGCCAGTTTCAGTAACCATCTTTCAGTATTCGATGCATTTTGTAATGGTAAACTGAAGTCTGAATCTATCCTTCAAGTATCCAATTCTATCAACAGATATTTTAGGTTAAATTAGGTAGTTGTATTGATTTGTGTACAATAAGAGTCAAGTAAGTAACAGTATAGTAATATTTATTCACAGATATATCAAGTTTTATTTTTGTTTTCTGAAAAAATCTTAATGATCCGCTAAACTAATCAAAATGAAAATTTAAAAAAAGAAACTTAACATAACATCACGCCTTTTATAGGTAGAGGTGCACAATACGGCAATTAATGCCACTGTACAATGTCACTTTCACTCTTCACTATACGTTTATGGGTCCCATATGTAATAGGGAGTGAGACTTTAGGGAACAGAGAGTATAGTTCCCTAAGATCGGAAAAGGAGGATCCTCCGACCAGGCGAGGTGATCGTGCCTGGCGGGCTTTCTGCCCAATTTCTGAATATTTCTGATTTTCTATCCGTGTTTATTCGCTTGTAAACTTTGCATGTGCGATGTAGGATTCTTGTGACGTCATCCGTTGACATGTGGCATGCGTCGCCACATCACTCCCTCCCAAGACCGGAGGTCGATCCCGCTGAGACGGCTGTCGATGCTTGAGATGAGCGGTGCCAGAGCCAGTGTAGAAAGTCCCTAGTTCCAGTGAGTCGGAACAGTGCCGCTGAGTGCCCAGTGAGTCGGGTGAGCGGTGCAGGGTTAAACTCCAGTGAGTCGGAGAGATGAGTTCGCAGTGTCCCACGGTGAGTCGGGGAGGAGATGCTGCGAGGGTAGGTGCGTAGTGGCTGGCGTCTGCGTTGACGGGAGGAGATGTCCTTCAGACCGTGTGCAGAAGTGCTGTGCCTAGACGCTGGTGAGGCCGTAGGGAAGAACCAGGCTGCACATCTTTGTTGCAGACGATGGTGGTCCCTGATGAGGCCGAGGATGCTGGTTGGCTGCGACTTGATTACCGCTCAGCGGAGAAGTGATGAATGAGAGGGATGGCGATACGGATGACGGTGCTTATCTGCTCCGTGAAGTGAAGGTTGTTTCCAATCACGTCGGGGTCACCACTTTAGGAAACAGAGAGTATAGTTCCCTAAGATCGGAAAAGGAGGATCCTCCGACCAGGCGAGGTGATCGTGCCTGGCGGGCTTTCTGCCCAACAGTTGTTCGTTGGGATTTTCTATCCGTGTTTATTCGCTTGTAAACTTTGCATGTGCGATGTAGGATTCTTGTGACGTCATCCGTTGACATGTGGCATGCGTCGCCACAAGACTATTGCCATATACCAGGCACAATTCCAGACTCCGTGCTACTACTGACAATGTTTTAAAAAACCCAATATGTTTTGCCCGACTCAGGAATCGAATCCGAGACACCTTGCCCGGCAGTCGCATTGACCACTCGGCCAACGAGGCAGGCAAAAAGAAAAGCAAGTCTGAAATAATGTTGTAAATAATAAAAAAGGAATTTTATTAATACTAATCTGTGAATAATCATAAAATATATAATTTAGCTTACCGTTTACTAGTATTTATAGAGACCTTCAACTTGGTCATTTCGGAGTTGACCTTATCAATCTTCTTGGTGAGATCGTCGACTGTTTTCTGTAGGTCTTTCACTTTGCCGCCAGCCACCGCTGATATTTGCTCGTCTATTTCATGCACATCGCTTTCGACCTGATGGGAAAATTATGATAATTTTAAGAAAGATACTGCTAAGCCAGTTATTTCGCGTTCCATTAGGGCTGATGCCGATACGGAGCCGCGGAAGGCTTAACGGGTTGCCGGGGCTCCGGCTCGAAGTGCAGGAGTAGGAACGGGGTGGTTGTTAGTCGGTAAGAGTCTGACATTCTCCCTCGCCTAACCCAAGGCGGGAAAAGTCAATGGATTATCCCCCATAAAAAAGGCATTTATTTTGGTTGGTTTGGCGCTTGTCTACAAATAGAGTAGAAAACTAAATTACCTATATGGAATTGACGTAAATTTTAACACTTGTACGTGTAATCCCCATATATTGAGTTGTCTACTCTCTCGGTATACAAGCGCTTAAGTGGCATTTAGCAAGAAGAATTGGACAGAAGATCCTCCTTTTTCAAAATTAAGGACATTACCTCCTGTTTCTTAAACATTTAACAGTTGAGTGACTTCATCTACTGTCTATCAGAAGTTGTAATAAGCTTACCTCACTAGCATCTTCTTTGGCTTTCTCCAGCTTCTTGAGTGCAGTAGCAACCGTAGCCTCTAAGTTAGCCTTCTGCTGCGGATCTACTCGACTAGCAGCTACTTTCTTCTCTTGTTGCTTTATTTGATTCTGTTGACAAAAAGGAGAGAATTATATTTTAAATTAAAAAATACTTTTACAAATTGTCTATAATACAAATTAAGTTTAACACACACATCCCCGCTCTCCACTAACTACATTATAGACCTTATTTCCATAGTTTAGAGACTACTTTTGTATGAACAAATTTAGGGGACGATTTTCAACGGGTTAAATCAAATCTTGCAAAGGTTAGTCTCTGAAAAGTTTGCAGTCTCTAATTTACAACAGATTTGTACATTAAACAATACAATTCGAAAGTACTCAAGTAAGTTCTTTCTACCTGTAACACATGCTTAGTGTGGGAGAGCCACGCTTTGGTACGAATAGGCTCGACCGGAGTGATACTACGGCCGAGCAGAAAACCAACGTGAAATAATACTTGCGTTGTGTTTCGTCGTGTGAGTAAGGTTACCGGAGGTCCATAATTACAAACCCCCCTAACCAATCTCCCAAATCCCTGAATCCCCAACAATCCTCAAAGTTCTTCCTCATGAGTAAATTATTATTACTGATACACTACTATCGACTCCTCAGTAACAAGGTAGACAATCCCACTACACTAGCACGAGTGGGGTTAATGGGATTTCCTAAACGATATCTCGAGGCTGGTGATGGCACAGAGGGACCGCGTAGGCGGAGGAAATTATTTGCTGTGCCACCAGGCGTACGCACAAAGCGAGGTGCTGCAGCACCAACGGCAAGAGCGATGGGTCTCATGAACTCGATGATAGCTCAGCACCCAGAATTAGATGTGCTCCACGATGAGTCGTATATCATACAGAAATTAATGTATAAGTTTTTAAATATAAATCTCAATAATATAGGAACTATCTAAGTGATTAATATTGTAATAGGTTAAAGTTTCTTTTTTGTATCCTAGAATGTAAGTATTTTGGCTCTTGCTGTAAACTTTCATTTTAATGTAAATAAATAAATGACCAGCGTCTATGACCAAATAAACCATTCATCTTTGTATAATGTAGTAAAGAGGATAATATGATACCTGCATAAGAGGAACTTGTTCCACCAAGTTCTTGAGCTCGATGTTGAGCTTGTTCAGCGTGGTCTTGTTGTCGCGCACCGTCAGTTGTAGTATAGACAGAGCTTCTTCTAGCTCTGAAACTTCGTTGCGTACTTCTACCAATCTGTGGAGGAACATAAAATAATGTATAGCATAACATAACATCACGCCGTTTATCCCAGAAAGGGTAGGCCGAGGTGCACATTACGGCACTAAATGCCACTGTGCAATGTAACACCCACTTTTCACTATTTATGTTACGAGTCCCATATAATAGGGGGTGAGCCTATTGCCATATACCGGGCACAATTCCAGACTCTGTGTTATTACTAAGAATTTAAAGAAATCACCAGTAATACTTTGTCCGACCCGGGAATCGAACTCAAGCCCCGGCAGTCGCAGTTGCGATCACTCGGCCAACGAGGCACTCATATAATGTATAGTTAGTTATGAAAATGATTTTGTGTCAAAATTAGGTAATAATAATAACCAATCTAAATGCAAAATAATTGGATCAATACCTGTTTTTGATAGAAATTCAATTTATGAAAAAAATCGTCGAATTTGGATTGTCGTGTTTTTCGGCTTACTCACGTTATTATTTGACGAGGACCTTGACTAGTTTTAAGCGGTACTAGACGCTCATATTCATGAGCAGCATTCCGCGACCCGCGACGGCGAAACACGACAAGACTAGAGTAGCAGCGCGACAGTCGCCGCGCGAAATGCTACTCTTGAATATGAGCCTCTAGCATGGCTTGAAACTAGTCGAGTTCCTCGTCAAATTATTACGTGAGTAAACCAAATCCTTACTAATATTATAAATCGGAAAGTGAGTTTGTTTGTTTGTTCCGCTTTCACGCCGTAACTACTAAACCGATTGCTTTGAATTTTTGCAGACGTAAAGTTAGAAGTCTGGATTAAATAATAGGGTACTTTTTATCCCGGAAAAATTTGATATTCCCGATTGAAAACAAGTGTTGGTATAGATGGTGCTGTGTATATTGGTATATGTCACATATGCTACTTTTTATCCTTTTGTGACGCGAGCGAAGCCGCGGGTAAAAGCTAGTTCATAATAATTTATTTAGTATGTCTCACAAAAGTTACAATACACGACAAGACTTGGCTGAAAATGTCGTTAGCTAATCCATTTGAACACATATACCTTTGTTCCATCTTAGCCAATTTATCCTCATTAGCTTTTATAACTCTAGGGTCTGCCTCGCTGGTATCCTGTTGTACTGAGGACGACATCTTACCGCGCATCGTCTGCTTACCACCGCCAGTCATCGTACCTAAAATACAAATGTTTTAAGAATTAATAGGGTAGATGACTAATTATTATTTTAATGTCCATCTGGTAGATTATTTTAAAACATTAGGCACGTATTTTTTATTTACTTAAGGAAAAAATCAACGTAACATCACGCCTTTTATCCCAGAAAGAGTAGGCAAAGGTGCACACAGAAGTAACACCCACTTTTCACTATATATGTTATGAGTCCCATGTAATAGGGGGTGAGCCTATTGCCATATACCGGACACAATTCCAGACCCCGTGCTACTACTGAGATTTTTTTTAAAACCCAGTAAGACTTTGCCCGACGCGAAAATCGAACCCAAGACCCCTTGCCCGGCAGCCGCACTTGCGACCACTCGGCCAACGAGGAAAAAAATACTTTCGACGATATATTGATTTCAAATCCTCAAATCCACGGCCTCATCGTGTTATCACTCCGGTCGAGCCGGCCTATTCGTGCTGAAGCATTCTCTCTTAGCACTCTCAAGGAGAATGGCAGGTTTGTATGGAAGTTTTGTACCGCTATAAAATTTTGTATTAGTCATTGTTTTAACCAAGTGAATAGTCTGAACGATAGATATTTTTATTATGAAGTTTAGAAAAAAATTACATATTTTTAGAACTTGGGGTTCAAAAGTTATTTCACTTTGAAAATGTGCAAAAGGTATGTTAAGGTGGTACCACACTTGACATTGCGTAGTCGCTTCATTTGTCCAAATATTTGTAGACTACGTACAAATGGCGTCCAAATAGTATCTCTATATGTAATGGCGTGCAAATATATAGCAAACAAAGAAGAATAAACCCTCCAAACATGTTCTTTTTTGGCCGAACACAACAAATACGCAACGTCAAGTGTAGAGCCACCGTAAGCAAAATATCTATTACAAATGACAGATGACAGTTAACTGAAAAATGTCAATGTGCTCTCATGTGGTTGTTTATTTACAAAAAACAAAAATCTAAAAATACTGCTCGCTACTCAAGTGACTATTACACTTTGTATTATTAGAAAGAAAGAAAAACCATTTATTTTGCTACGACACGCAACAAGAATTTAGAAACCCAAAAAATAACCTATGGTGCCTCGCAGCGCAAAAGGCAATTAGGAATGATCCTGTTAATTCAGCAAGCATGATGCACCTATAGAGGTTTAAAGAGTATGCCTCACAATCTTTTTCATTTCTTAGGTGCCTACGAAAATGCAAATTCATAATGTAAGCGACTGTCATTGGGTAGAAGGCCTACATTTAGCAGTGGAAGTCTTGTGGCGGATATGATAAAACTAATGTCTCACTTCACCTTGAATCTTGCAGGTAGATAGTCTCAAGGGTCTCAAGTTAATTCGATTTAAACTTAGCTTAGCTCTTTGAGAAAGTATTTCTTCTGAAAACTGGTTGCTTAGCACGCATGTAAGGATTAATTTCTAATAAGTAAGTCAAATTAGTAGAATCATCAACATTTTCATCATTAAGTCTATAAGTGGCCACTGCTGACCGAAGCCTCTTCTCGCATGGAGGTTTGAGCATTAATCACCATACTAGCTCAATGTGGGTTGGTAATTCAAACTTATAATAAGAAATTATAAGCCCATGTTTCCTCACAATGTTTTCCTTCACCATTCGTCAGCGGTGTCTTTGTACTTTCTTAGATTATTGAATATACCAATAACTCGGAAAAAAGACACATTGGACAAAAGGTACTTTGCCGTGGTAGGTTTCGAACCCGCACTCTCATGCATGAGAAGCGGGCTTCTTAAACCTCTGGGCCACCACATTACAACTAAAGAAAATGTAAAATGAAAATGAACATTTTTGGTATAAAACTAAAGCTATCTAAATTAAATATGGCATTTATTTTATAGATTGATTCTTAAAATCACTTTTATCAAGATGGAATATATAGTTACTTACTAGGTTAAAATAAAACAAATGTATTATTTTGAAATACTTTTATTTCATTGTATTCAGGTTGTTTCTAGGAGTACTTCATCTAAAAAGAGAACAGGCCGTGTCATAGGTACAGCAGACATCAATTGCTGATATCTGTAAACAAGTAAGATAACTGTAAATAAAGTAAACAAAAGTGCATTTTTTTCCTTTAGTTTTATATGTTATAATAATAAGTCTGATTCCCTATCTTAAAATGGAAAAGATAAAAATAAATATTTGATTACATTACTTCATTTTATAACATTTATTATAGTTATTCGTATAACACAGATCATAGGAGCTCAAACAGCATGCTAATTAATAATTATAATTAAACATGAGTATAAACCTATTAGAAACTGCTTATATACTCCACATAGATACATAATTATGTAGGTACATTATATTGAGAATGCATACCTGTTGAAGCTTTGAGCCGAACAACATCATCCGGCCTCATCTGTTCTACAAATGGCAATGTTAAAGTGAGGCTTAGTCCATGTTTACATAATACATTACTTCCTGATAGTGAACTCTGTGAGGTGGTATGTCAGGTTGTGGTTTTATAGTTTCGACTCTTGTACGGTCTCTCAGTCAGTATGGAACATGATCTTCATCATGGGAAGTAAGCTAAAATAAGTAATATTATTAGAATATGATATTGACTTTAGATTACACTGTATATAGATAATAGTATGGTTAAATTATGCTTTATTACCTCTTGTGGCTGAATCCAATCAAATACTATATGAGCCAGTCTTTACTCCTGTTTGTTGGCGCCTTCAATGAAAACCCTGCGTCACCTTATCATTGCAATGAATCACCCATATACGACATAAACATGCCAGTGACCAATTTGTTTGCTGGACATACTTTCAGCAACATCCCGATACATTGCTAATTGCCAGCAAGCATTGCAAATATGGTCGGTAGGAGAGATCTAGAATAAAAAGAATAAAATGATACATTATGGGTAGATAACACTATGCGCCTTCTTTTATTCAGGAACATGGTGACTTTCGATATGTTATGGGTAAACTAGGTACTTACATCTCTAGGATAAGTCCACATTGGGATATTGTTGACCACGTCTAATCTTCACTCTCATTTTCTAGAGCATGCCGTCTCATGTGCGACAAACTCTGAATGCAATTAATACACTGTAAATTCATCATCGCGACAAATAACAACACACTGCACAAAATAATGTAAATAAGTGTCTTTTCGCAATTGTCACAACAATGATGCCAATAATATCAATTTGGGCTACGGAGGAACGGTTGCCAAACTCAACGTATCACCAGATGAATAAAATAACTTCAAATTCAACAAACACATCATAACATCGCATTTGAAACAAACAGCAATGCGCCAGTATTGACAAATTAATTGTCAATGTCATCAAGACAAATGCCAGTTCAACATTGCCATAATATTCAAGTTTGTTAAAATGTTAATTATCATTAATAATCCATGTAAACGTAGATTTAGATTGGATGTAGATTTTTATATTTACTTATAAAAATGTTTGAAATGGAAAGGAAAATATTTCATTGATAGATATTAAAATAAATGAGTTTATGAAATAGCGAAATTCAATATGATCTGATTTCATCTTTACGCATGGCAACTTTGTAAACGTCAATCGCGGTTCGTTTTACGTATAATGGATTGCTTTTTATCATTATTGAATATCAGTTTTTCTAGGGTTTCCCAAGTTTTAAAAATCTATTAAATATGCTAACATAACGTACTTAGGAGGTTCTATAATGACCCAATTTTTTAATGACAAATCTTTTTTTAGCGAAGCGGTACAAAATCTGCCGTTCTCCTTTTAAATTAAACCTACGTATTTCAAAAGCTGTACTTACCAGCGATTTCAATTACATCTCCCTTTAAGCTGACCATTCGATACCGTGTTCGTCCATAAGCAATGCGCGTAGCTTGTTCCAAGTCATTAGCTACTAAAGTATCGCGCAATGCGTAGTAGAAGGCTGGTAACACTCGGTCATCCTTCACTTTGACGAGGTCGAAGAGACGAGGCACGTTCTCTGGGCTGTTAGAAAATGAATTTTATTTCCTGGACAATTGGGTACTTTTTCACACAATTGTCTTCATCAAAACTAAATTAATTCGACTGATCAATACAATAAAATATTTAAAAAAAATCACAATTTCGGTAATTGATTTTATAATTGATACTTGATTTTAGTATTATTACAGTAATTTTTTAAGAAATAAGTATGCAGTGGGCCAAGCACGAATAACTATCGCATCCGTATCGTAACAGTATCGAGCGAGTTAAGCGTTCTGATTGGTTGGTTCATTTGAGCCGGCCAATCAGAGCGCCGAACGCGCTCAATACTATTACGTTACGAATGCGGTAGCTATTCGTGCTTGGCACTCTGTTTGACGCTAAATATACGTGACGTCACAATACACAATTTCGTACAAAATTCATGGGAAATTTACGTTTTTAACAGTTCGAAAAAAGTATTGAATTTGACTAGCTGGCAAGTATCTAATTATGTACATGTTTGTGTGGGTACGTTTGCATTTTATTTACGTATTGCATTTTAACGAGTTTAAGGGTGTTTAAAATAATTTGTACTTTATTTTCTTGGCAATTACGTTAATTTTATGTAGCTTAAACACAGCTTTAGATTAACACAGGCTACGGATTCCCACAATACTGGAAAAGCCACTAGTTGTCAGTTTATTACGTATCTTTATGCGAATATTAACCTTTGTAGATGACAATTAGATTGACATTTGCGTGAATATATAAGGAAAATAGACATGACGACATAACATAAGGAAATAAACTGAAAATCCTTACTAATATTAAAAATCGGAAAGTGAGTTTATTTGTTCAGCTTTAGCGCCGTAACTACTGAACCGATTGCTTTGAATTTTTGCAGACGTAAAGTTAGTAATCTGGATTAAATAATAGGGTACTTTTTATCCCGGAAAAATTTGGTATTCTCGAGTGAAAACGAAATTATTGGTATAGATGGCGCTGTGTGTATTAGCATATGTCACATAGGCTTTTTATCTTTTAGTGATGCGTGCGAAGCCGTGGGTAAAAGCTAGTAAATAATAAATATATACTCACTACGTGTGTCGATTCGAGTACACTGGTTTCAAATGCTCCTGTTTATCCAGAGCTATGAAGGTGGCTCTACCCACGTCATTCCGCCTTAGGAATTCAACGCCAGCCTGAGCAGTTTCCACCGTGTCCACTACTATATTGTCTAGCGCGCCACAGCATGTCGATATAGCTACGTCATACTTCGAATCTATACCACCGAGGTCACCCTGGTAAAATAATTATTAAGGTTTTGTCAATATCAATGCTAATAAAACATAAGACAACTTTTTTTTAACGTAAATTTTCGCGCAACTGGCGTTTATGGTTTGCGCGACTTGTGCTAATGGATTGCGCTACATGCGCTAATGGTTTGCGCTAATTGCGCTAATGGTTTGCGCAATGTATTAGGAATTAGGGCAATATTTATGATTTGCGCAGTAGGTTCCACCATGTCCACTACTATATTGTCTAGTCCGTACAAAACAATTATTATTATTATAACAATAGTACTAACCAATCGTCCGAATATTCCTGGCAGTCGTCCGTTTCGCTTCTCATTCATCAAAGCATTCAATACTTTGTTACGCGACGTGTTAGCGCTCATTGCTTGACGGGACTCTTCTATTTGTGCCCTGGAATATTAATAGGAAACTATAATCAGCTGTTTTGTAGAACATCAATACAAATATTGTCCATAAAGGTTTGTACATATGAATTAACCAACGGCACTGGACTTTTTGCTTAACTCACAGTAATCATTTTATAAATAGCCTTACTTTTGATATTTTAAACCTTTATAACATTTTATTCAGAATAATTGAATCGATCCTAAAATTTTAATGTTCTTTTTTTATATGTACAATGTTATATATTTTTAATGATATTTTCGTGTTGCGCATAGATAAAGAGCAAAAAAGGTTATTATAGTGTATCATACCTCAATGGTCGTACTTCGCTGATAAGTGTGGCTTCCTCTCGCTTCAGTTTTTGTATTTTATGGTTCATTTCATTCAGCTGCTTCTCCTGTTGGGGTAAAGTTTGGGCCAACTCTTCTTGCAAACTGTTAAAATGGAAATAATTTAATTTTAGCATTTTAGTTTATGGGTTTATTACACGTACGCTCTTATGGATAGTTATGGCTTTCATCGAAACGTCGTGGTTTAAGACGCCCGCTTCTCATGTATTGTGTGACAGTGCGGGTGTCGAAACCTACCAACGGTAAATACCAATGTGACTTTTCCGAGTTATGGGTACTTTCTAAGATTATCTAGATACTACTGACAAACTGTAAAGGAAAACATCGTGAAGAAACCTGGGCTTATAATTGACTTCACCTTGGAATCAATCAATCATTTATTAAAGGATACTCTTAGAAAATCATTAAGAAAGGAGTCCAAATTCAAATCACGGGTTATACAGAAATTATCTATCATGTAGACTATCATAGTTGACATAAACCCTGGCTTATTGGTAAAATAGTGAACTTGAGCGGATCCCAAGTACGACAACTCAGCCTCAAACGGCTTAAAAAAGGGTTGCCGGGGCTCAGGATCGAAGTGCAGGAGTCGGAACGGGGTGGTTTCATGTCAGTAAGAGTCTGACACTCCCACACTCTCGCTACACCCAGGCGGGAGAAGTCATTAGATGATATTCCCCTCAAAAAAAGCACGAGTAGGTACTCAGGTTCGATTCTAAAATAAAAATTCTTAGCCATTTTATAATCACCAAAAGCCGCTTCCAAGAGACCTGAAATTCTAGACACAACCGGAAATAAGACTTACGGCTTCTTCTGTTCCAAAGCAGTACTAGCTTTTTCATACGAAGCTTGCATATTCTCCAATTTCTCACTCTCTTTCTTCTCCGTGCTAAGGTATATCTTGAGTTCAGACTCGGCCAGTTTATACCGGTTATTAGCATCATCTACAATCTTCTTTAATTCCATTAAATTCCCTTGTAATTTGTCCTTTGTCTGTTGAAGACTTTGGGTTCTTGATCTGTGGGTAAACATTTTGGTATCAAGAGTGGTTTAGTTGTAAAATCATTCAGTTTGGATGTCTTATCGCGATTGTCGAGTGGTCCAACCATTAAATAAGTTTTGCATATCCTTACTAATATTATAAATCGCAAAGTGAGTTTGTTTGTTTGTTTGTTTGTTTGTTCCGCTTTCACGCCGTAACTACTAAACCGATTGCTTTGATTTTTTGCAGATGTGAAGTTAGAAGTCTGGATTAAATAATAGGGTACTTTTTATCCCGGAAAAATTTGATATTCTCGAGGGAAAACGAAATTATTGGTATAAATGGCGCTGTGTGTATTCGTGTATGTCACATAGGCTACTTTTTATCTTTTTGTGACGCGAGCGAAGCTAGTTACTTATATATGTGATTGTAGTCAATATCAAAATTCTCAGTAAGGGAGAACATAACCATTTTTTTACAATAATCACGTAACGAGGGTTGGAGATCGCAGATCCAAAAAATTGGATCCTAATGTTTGACAGATACTCCATCAGAACTAATCCTTTAACACATCAAATCTTCTTAAATTCCAATAAGTTTGGCAAAGTTTATATTGGTTCAGATTCATTTTTGTTCAGTTGAACTTTAGAGTGGATCGGTTATTAATATCCGACTTAACCCATACGTCCCCAAGCGGTCACCGGTGACCGCTCTCCACTAACTACATTATACACCTTATTTCCAATGTTTAGAGACTACTTTTGTATGAACAAATTTAGGGAAAGAATTTCAACGGTTTAAAAGAGGTCACAGTGCCTTTAGCCAAACGTCACTTTAGCGCTTGTCTACAGAGAGAGTAGAAAACTTAATGTATGGAGATGACACTGACAAGTATCAAAATACGTCAATTCCATATAATTTGGTTTTCTATTCTATATGTAGACAAGCGCTAAATGGCATTTGGCTACAGCTGCAGGTTTTTTTTTATCTATTGCGGCAGACATAGGGGTCCGCGCTCTATTTTAATGATTATTTATTATTTAGTACATCCTTTTTGTTTTTACTACAGTTTCATATCCTGACTAGACATATGGTTATATAATGATAATTTTAATCTTAAAAAAGCTACGTGAGTTCATTTTTTTTAACAGCTGCAGGTTAGGTTAGAATATGTAATTTAATTATCTCTACCTGACACTGGCCACAACAGCTTGCAATTCTTCTTCGGCCTTAGCCTTCTGCCCCGTATGCTTTTCTAGAAGCTTTCCACAGTCGTCTATCTCTCTTTGATTCTTTTCTGGTATCTGTAATGAAGAAATTCAGTTTTGGACTTTATTTCTAATACTATAAGGTGCAAAATCGATTAACACACTTTTGCAATTGTGACGTCATACATTCTATTTAGAGTCTTTTCAAAATTATTTTGCAATTAAATGGTCATCAGATAGTGTTGCAGAAAAGATTAACATGTAGTTCTATTATCGAGACGAAAATGAAAGTTTAGACATCTTGTATAAGCCAATTTGTTACCAGTTATTATAACCAGAGGCAGTTAAATAGTTGTTAAAGCTATCAAAACAAACATTTATCGATTTATTTGTGCCCTTAGACCACTAGAAGTAACAACATAACATAACATCACGCCTTTTTATCCCTGAAGGGGTAGGCAGAGTTGTACATTATGCCACTGTACAATGTAACACCCACTTTTCACTATTTATGTTATGAGTCCCACGTAATAGGGGGTGAGCCTATTGCCATATACCGGGCACAATTTCAGACTCCGTGCTACTACTGAGATTTTTATTAAAAAACCCAGTAATACTAGACCCGGGAATCGTACCCGAGACCCCTTGCCCGGCAGTCGCACTTGCGACCACTCGGCCAACGAGGCAGTCAACTAGAAGTCTTACACATAAGAAGAATAAAAGTAAAACTTGTGGAAGCATGGTCTGCCATTTACTGTTTTTTTTACTATGTTGTATATTACGCTTTGTTTCTGTTTTGTATACCTATTTAATAAATAAAACAAAGTTCACTAACAAACAAACAAACAAAAATACTTACAAGTTCCAAATCAATCAACTTCCCCTTCTCCTGTTCAATGAGTTGGTCTAAATTCTTCTTCTTTTTATTGCTCTGCGTGAGGTCCGCCTGTGACGTCACCATGTTTTTCTTACATGTTTGTAACTTCTCTGTTAGTTCTTCCTTCTTCTTACGTAGGACGTCGTACTTTCTAGAAAAGAAGAGAAGTTTGTGACTCTTCGTGAAATTATTGAGGAATGTGGATGGAACTTAATGTTATAATAGTGTAATTTGGCTACCCCAATGGGACGGACGAAGGACTTTTACGCGCTTTTAATAAATAAGAAATAATGAAATTGAAATATTCACATAATTTTGATTAGTAAAGATCCAAATAGTGCAAGTTTGTAACATTCTAACACCCTGCTTCATTCAATTGCTGGACTTTGGATCTCCTACCTACATAAGAATGGTTCGCATAATCTCTATATGATGAAAAGAGAATCGAAGATCGCAATTTAAAATTTTCAGATTTATTAGAGCGTTTTGTTGTCCAATTTATATTTAATGTCCTTTATAAGGCTCTTAGGATTATGTAAGACATAAATAAAATGAAAGTATACATGACTCCTTAGATCGGGATTCGAAATAACTGTTACAGTTACTTACTTAGTGCCTTCTTTGAGGACTCCAGTCTTCTCCTGCAGTTCTTCTTGTATCTTCTTCAGCTTCTCATCCATTTCGACTAAGTTCGTTTTGCATTCATCTAGATTTTGCTGTTTAGTCTCCATTATCTTTTTTGTTTCGTGACTACAAAGATAAAATTGTTGTTTTAAAACTATTCTTATTATAGGGTCAGTTTAATAGTCCGTATTTTTAATGAATGGAAATAACCGGATGGATAACCTGATTGTAAGCAATCGGTGCCGGCTATAGACAGCAGGAACACCAGATGTCTTTTAAGGATTGGCAATTTAAATATTGATCAAGGTCAAAATCATTTATCTCAATTAGACCAGGATGGCACTTTTGAACGTCAAACAACGTTCTTATAACTTGGAGATTGAGAATGGGGGAGGATCACGTTCTTACAACACCTGGCGGGAAGAGTAAGGCCTACAATCCACTACGCGTCATTTGAAAAATGCATACAACCTACAAATGACGATAGGCGGATTTGTAAGAAAAGCTTTATTTAATAGTTTTCTTATTCTCCACAGACTCTTGTCCTTGCTCTTATCATTTTCACATTCTCTTTTTTTTAGTCAATATTCATTATTATAAAAATCTTACGTGCTATATTAACCACATTTTTTTACACAAAGTACTTTATTGCATATTTATGTCTAGTATCTACATTTACACATATTTTATTACATTTACATTAACCCTACTGGACCTGATCCAGCAGGAGGCACCAGTTCAGGACCATGACGTATGGGCCAGCAATCGGTTCGATCAACCATTTCGTGGCGTGACGACGTGGGACTTATGGACAGGCGTAGAGGTGGTAAAAAAAATATATTCTACTCTTTTTTTTTATACGAGATAAGCCGATAGACGAGCAGACGGATCCCCTGATGGTAAGCAATCGGCGTCGCCCATGGACACACGAAACACTAGAGGCGTTACAAAAGCGTCACTGGCCTTTTGGGGATTAGGAATTTGAAGATTGTTGGGAATTCGGGGATTGGTGTAATTGGGGCCCCAGTAACCTCACTCACACAACAAAACACAACGAAAGCGTTGCTTCACGTCGGTTTTCAGCTCGGCCGTGGTATCACTCCGGTGGGCCGACCAGTCATTCATACCGAAGGATGGCCGTACTACACTAAACAGCTTACTCTTACAGCTACAAAATTAACTCACATGTACTTCTGCAGCACCATATTCCGTGACCTCGTATAAGTGTTGGTCATGTTAAGCAGGTCCACCGCTTCCTGCATTGGTTGGAGTAACGCTTGCTTCTCTTGTTCAACGAGACGCACTCTATTCAACTTCTCTTTACGCAAATCACTGTATTCTTCCACTTTGATTGCTAGTTTTTCTATTGGTTCCTGTGAGAGCATATATTAGTAAAATTACAAAATATAAGGAACATGTATTGTGTATGTTCCTATTAACAAAATAACAAGAATAAGGAACATGTATTGTGTATGGTTCTTATTAACAAAATAACAAGAATAATATTTTCACATCTTTAAACTATGATGACCAGGGTCTACAATAGATACAACCATGAAAACACCGGAACACTAAAGTCCGGTGCAACCCAGGGACATGAATAACTGTCTTGGTTCCCGCAACGAAGTGAATCAGAAGATAATGATATTATAAGAGAGAAACAAAAAAAAAGTAAGGTTAATGACATATGCGGTCTACTCTGCTAGCACCTGGCATTTGCATATAGAAGTATGAATATCAAATAGTATACCTTGAATCTAGAAGTACCGATGATATCTTCCAAGTACTCCAACATTCCTGGTTCATGTTCCGACACCGCTTTTGGTTTCATCATTGCGATTTGTTCGACTTCGCCCTGGTAGAAGAGAGAGAAGATAATGCATTCAACATGTGGCAACATCATTACGAGTAATTAGTGCAAATAAACTAAATAAACTGGGACCACTGGTGTGTAAATTAAATTATGTTCATAAGCTAGAAACACATTGTTTCATGAAGAACATGTTGCCATAACCTATGGGAATTACCGATTAAATCCCACCTATAAAAAGTTTATCACCTAAGTCAGCCCATACTCTGCCTGTATACCAAATGTCATCGAAATTTGTTCAGTAGTTGACGGACAAGCTTCCAAACAAACAAACTTTCAAGTTTATAATTTAAGTGTGATGAAATGAAATGATAATCATACATGTTTTACCGTAAAAATATTACAAAAATATATATTTCCTTCAATAATAAAAAATTCAAATAACTGCTTAAAAAACAATATTCGTAATTTACTAAACCACTAACCTGCAAAATCAAGAACCGATTGTAATCCAAGTCGATACCATGTGACCGTAACATACGGGAGACCTCTTTGAACTGCACTCGTTTGCCATTCAGGGTATAGAATGAAGAGCTGTCTTTGAATGCAGTTCTGGATACTACGATCTCACTATTCGGTACAACTTCGAATGCTTCTCCCTCCTAAAAGAAAACTTTTGTTAATATTTTAAAGCTTTTGGTACTGTAACCAAAAATACTGTGTTTTGGAGTTTTCAAGGTCACGATGTAGTTAAATTTTGTAAACTTCAAATCAAATTATGTTTTTGAAAACATAAACCGAGCCATTGTTTATAAATTATTCCAATAGGATTATTGAGTAAGTTCTCAACCAAATTATGTTTATAAATACTATCTTCCATCTAGGCTAGGATATTAATTTTTTTGTAAGAAATTCTGTACTTGCTCTGCGGTAGAGAAACCATTTGTTCTTTGCACATTAAATAAGAAAACTTAGGAAAGATTTGTTATTAAAATTAAAATCATTAATAGTATTCATTCTTATTTAAAATAAAACTAAACCAATACTTACCCCATCGATAATCCGGCAGAAATGAACGGCCACAGTTGTACTAGTGAGGTTAGGATACTTGCTTGACGAGTGTATCAATACGGAGATCTTCTTCGACCTAATCTTTGAAGCTCGGTACCCAAACACGAAGAGCATAGAATCTATCACATTACTTTTACCACTGCCATTAGGGCCTATGATTGCAGTGAAGCTCTGAAAGAAGGTTTTATTAGATCTATAGTGATGCAAAAATTGTGTTACAAAAAGTGTTTTATGAGTCCAATTGGTTGCTTATTGGTCAAGTTCCAAATAGGAACAGCTGGTAAATAGAGAGATGTCAGATTGCATTCTCAGCATAGATAACATCATGTTGAAAGGTACTTAGTCTATTATAAAAAAAAAATTGTAATTAGTCATTCGGCGTTGTGCTTAACATAACTGATATAATATTAGTGTTACATTTATTATTTACACTCCAGAATAAACATTTTGTGACTAAAAGGCGAACTAATATAATAAAACTTGCAGAATCTCCAAAGTATGCAAATGTGCTGTACAAACATTGTTATGTAAACAAAGCCGAAATGTTTTCAGTAGACATGAACGATAGTGGCTCCCATTTCAGGCCAACGACCTCGACCTCGTATATTAACATATCTTACCTTATGAAATGGCCCCAAGACTTCAACTCCAGCGTAACTCTTGAAGTTTTCATTCACTATGTGTGTGATTATAAGTCTGGGCCCTTTAGAATCGAAAGAACACGTCGGTTTTGGCGCCGGCGGTATGTAAATATCACCTATACGAACTCCACCTTCTTCATCATCAGATATGTGATCGATTTCTTCGTGTATTAAAGCCTCAGCGTTATTATTTGCATGAGTTCCACCTGAGGATTCACCAACTTCCATAGCATTGTCCTCCACCTTTCGCTTTTTAGATTTCTGCATTTTGAACCGTTACCACACAACAACCACTGCTTGTGTTTATATTTGGTTGCACTTGTTGTTAACTATTATCGTAATACGGAAAGCCGACCGTTTAAAAATTTCAAAGCGCGTTTATTGTAGCCAAACATTTGACAGATAATAATTCCCTCCCGATATTAGAGATGGGGTAGAAGAAGCGTACTAGTTAGTCGATTTCGAAAGCAAGCTTTTCACAATATTTTCGTACATTGAAAAATAATTTGTTTATTATTTTATCTACAATTACGTAGAGTTAACAAATTTTGCGGTCAGAGTGTAGCAAAGGGTGTGCAAGAGTTTTGGGACTAAGAAAAAATTTTTAAAATTTCAGAAATTATTATTCTTATAAATAGCTAGTATTTCATTTCCAACGCTTAATATACCTAAAAATAAAGCGAATATTAAAAGATTTTGTGGTTCGCCTGAAAATGATCCCTAAAGGTCAGTTGTCGGAGTTTGAAAAGTTCTGAAGACCTAGATAAAAAGTGCCCAGATGATTTTCACCTTATTTTTAGGTATACTACACAATAGAAATGAAAAAAAAACAGTCATTTATAAAAATTCCCATTTTTGAGTTCTAAAATCCTTGCACACCCTTTATAGTCAGTAAGAGTCTAATACTCCCTCCCGTCTCATCCAGGCGTGGCCATTCGATGACTTTCCCCTTTAAAAAAAATCCCCAAAATAAACGATCACACGATACACTTGTAGAAAAGTACATTATTGCCAAAATTGTTCGAAACTTTATTACATACACATATCTGTTTACAGATGCAGCCTTATCTATGCGATTCACAACATCGTTATTTTTTTATTTTTTTTTTATATTTGATTGGGCGACGTTTGACCACTATCTCACCTGATGGTAAGCGATGATGAAAAAACTTTAAACTGAACCGCTCTGTTATTGATCTTGTCTTGCCACCAAAGAATAGTAAGTATAGGGGCTGCAAGACGCTGCGAGGTGAATCTGACTGTCCAGAGATCGTAGGTCAGGTGGTGCGGTTATTAGTACCGAGGCTACCCAGAACACACCAGCTTCGACCGCACCAACTTCGATATTAGCTGTACCAGAAGCACGTATGCAAATTCTCCGCTAGTCCGAGTACTCACCATGCTTATTTCTCTCATGACGTCAATACCAGATTGTGATTTGTTTGCAATTGATGGATGTGTGTCGTGAATGTTAAAGATTTTGTGAGAGGATGGATGATACGTAGCTAATGATAATATTTGTTTTTAAGTACCTAGATAAGCATTTGTATACAATTATCAGTTTAACTTAATGGCGTAAGCTGAAGTGTTATATATGAAAATTTCAAAAATTCTATTTAAATAAATTATAGTTCCATAATTATTTGTAAGAAAAACAGAGTACCAAGCACGAATAACTATCGCAATCGTAACGTAATAGTATCGAGTGCTTTCGGCGCTCTGATTGGCCGGCTCAAGTGAACCAACCAATCAGAACGCTTAACTCGCTTGATACTGTTACGATACGAATGCGATAGTTATTCGTAATTCCTCTGGTCTATGAAAAAACATCTAAAAACAACGTACAATTTATTTGCATCCGATAGTTTTCCGTGCAGTTACTTGAATGCTGTACTTTAAACTTAATAGCTCTCGGCACTTTGGCTAAAAATACATATAATAAGCAAAATACGTTTGCCCACTCGGGCAGTTTCTTGGCCCATTCATCGTCTGTAGACATAGAGCAACACAGGCCACCGGCGGACCGGGGTCTGTCGACCGATGAGGTATATAACTTATTACAACTTCAGCTTGCAGCGTATAAGAGTATGTGTTACCTTTGATTATTTAGCGATTTTAAACTTGTCGGTTTTGAGAAACATCGAGTATTAATTTTTGTAGCAACACTAGCCATTTTTAGAAATTGTAGTGACTACTCTGACAACACAACACTACTGTCACTTCTGTCAGTTCTGTCACAACAAAAATGGCGAACCGCACGGTGAAAGACGCGAAGTCAATACGAGGCACAAATCCTCAATATTTAATAGAAAAGATCATAAGATCACGTATTTACGATTCTAAATACTGGAAAGAAGAATGTTTCGCTTTAACAGCGGAGTTATTAGTCGACAAAGCTATGGAATTACGTTACGTCGGCGGCGTGCATGGAGGTTTCATCTATCCGACTCCGTTTTTGTGTTTAGTTTTGAAAATGCTTCAGATCCAGCCTGAAAAGGACATAGTAGTGGAGTTTATAAAGAACGAGGAGTTTAAATATGTGCGTGCTTTGGGTGCATTTTACATGAGACTCACAGGATCTTCAGTTGATTGTTACAAGTATTTGGAACCTCTTTACAACGACAACAGGAAGCTAAGGAGGCAAAATCGTGAAGGACAGTTTGAAATAGTCCATGTAGATGAGTTTATAGACGAACTTCTTCGTGAAGAACGTTTGTGTGATGTAATTTTGCCAAGAATACAGAAGCGTCACTTTCTTGAAGAGAATAATGAGTTGGAACCCAAAGTCTCGGCCCTGGACGACGATTTGGACGAAGATATGCCGTCTGATGAGGAAATTGTTGACACAGAAGTGAAAGAAGTTAAAAAAGAGAAGGAAATTGGACGGAGAGGTGAAAGAGACAGGAGAAGAGACAGGTTAGTTTTGACAAAACAAATGTTGAATGTTGTCAATGAAACCTCTTTGGCGTATAAACTCTGCTATGATTTATGTATGAGCTTTGATGTAGTTAGGTTACAATATATTCATTCACAAAAATTTTAATAAACCATTTAAAATCTATTTGTTAGCTAATGTGATGTTACATCAAAATCTTTATTTTCAGATCAAGAGAACGTGACAGACGTGACAAAGAACGAAAAAGAGAAAGATCTAGAAGCAGGGACCGTGACCGCAGAAGGGAGAGGGACCGTGAACGTGAGAGGGAAAAGGAGAGGGAGAAAGACAGGGACAAAGATAGGTCTAGGGAACAGAGGGAAAGAGAAAGAGATAAGGAACGGAGGGACAGAGATAGACATGATGTTGATAGAAGAAGAGATAGAGGGAGGTACTGATAAGAATAAATGTGTTTAGTTTTAATACAATGTTGGTTTTATTTAGTAACCTGCGCGCTATATTTTCGGTGTCTTTAAGTCAATTTTAATACTCACATTAGTTATATTAAAATTCATCATATTCAATTCAGCAGTTTAGGGATATAGTTAAATGTGACAGACACATTCTTTATAAATTGTAGTGTTTAAAATTCGTAATTGAAAAACATAATAGACGCATTACTCCCCCATAGAATTTTCGAAAGTTCCCCTCGGTTTCCCTAGGATCCCATCATCAGATCCTGACTTCATGGAAATGGGGCCATCTCGGGAGTATACCCTTTCAAACAAAACAAAAATTTTCAAAATCGGTCCACAAATGGCGGAGTACTGCGCGAACAAAAAAAAAAAAAAACAGCCGAACATAGTACCTCCTCCTTTTTTTGAAGTCGGTAATAAAATAAAAACAAAAGATGAATTGACATGTATATTTAAAAAAAAAGTATTGCTATGATAACAATTTCATAAAAATAATTCTCTCTATACTGAACAATTCATTTACCAGTACATTTTTTTATTTACAACAATTAATAGGCTTTTTAACACTACCTGGCTAAATAAATGGACCGGCCATTGATTTTAGCCTATTTATAGCAGAGCAAGGCTGAAGCAAGTAAAGGAACTTTTATGTTATGTAAGTTATGAAATTGCTTTGGAAAATAACCCTATTAATATACATGATGAAGTATGAATTAATTTGGAGATCCAGAAAGTAAGATAATTCCTTCAAATAAATGAAATAATATGCAACAATATATCACCATTACTCGTTAGGATCATTTTTGATGTTTCAGGGCGTCCAATTAGTTTCGAGCTCCACAGGGGCTCATACGTAATGGTGAGCTGCACGCGGTTCGTCGACAGTTGAGCGACTTCGTAAGCTGGTTTTAATAAAGCCCCTCAATTTTGTAGCAAATGCTATTTTCTAGTCACACGGACGAGTGGCATTGTCGTCAACCGCGTCCACGTTTTCGGGCCAATACAGAGTTTCAAGCACGAATAACTATCGCATTCGTAACTTATTAGTATTAAGCGAGTTCGGCGCTCTGATTGGCCGGCTCCTGTGAACCAACCAATCAGAACGCTGAACTCGCTGTATACTGTTTTTTTTTTAAAGGGGGAAAATCATCCCCGAGTGTCAGACTCTTACTGACTAAAAACCACCCCGTTCCTTCTCCTGCACGTCGAGCCGGAGCCCCGGTAACCCGTTAGGTCCGCGAACGCTCTATACCTACTGTTACGATACCGAACGCGATAATTATTTATGCTTGGCACTCAGGTTGTAAACGAAACGCTCCCGAAAAATGCCGATAAAAACTATATAGTTTTATTTATTTAAATAAGGAATGAAATGTTTCTTTATGTATTAAATGTTGTAATCAACTGCTCGAAGCAAATGGTATGGATAACACGTAAACAGAAACAATTGAAATTGTGAAACATTTTTTTTGTCAGCGTTTTTGGGTGTGTTCCATTTACACCCGGTATAATAGGGTAGATGACTATTTTTTATTTTAATGTCCGCCTGGTAGATTATTTAAACACATTAGACACGTATTTTTTTTGTCTTACGGAAACAGTTTTGAAAATTGATTTGAAATATCGCATGACGTCATTTTCCTAAACTGTTTCGTTTTATCTAAGTATTGTTTTCATAGACGACAAAATAAAAAAATAAGTGCCTAATATTTTTTCACTACCTAACTGACGAACTAATTAGATTTTTAATTTACATACATTGTCATCATCCCTATTATACTGAGCCGACGTGGCGTGGCGTTTAATTACATAATTTAGTGATAATGTAAGAAACTTACTAAAGTAAATAATTGTAATCTTGTTATATCTGAACCTAGAAGTGGATATAAAACAAGTATATATTTATGTTAGTCTGTGCTTTAACGTTTATTATTTATTTTTTAATGTATTATGTCTATTAGGAAGATCTTTCCAAATTCTATTAATATAATATTTTAATGAGCATATTGTAATAGTAATATTCGACTATCTACATAATTATGTACACAATTTATCGATCACCCATGTAATTGTTTGAACATTTATCTAAAATTAGTACTAAAATCATTGGTGTAGAAGAAACTAGATACCGCACTGTCTGTTAATACATAATTACTATAGGTACCATCAGTGGTGTGCAGTCCATATAGGCAAAAAAGCTTTGCCTACCTTTTAATATCGTGAATAAATAACATGCATAAAATGTACGAACGCGTTTATTAAGATTCAATAATATAATAAAATAACTGAATAAATAATAGATGCACACCTGTCTTGTGTGAGTATGATTGTATGACCTGGGGGACCTCTTATTTAGAAGTACTTACCAAAAAATTCTTTATTACATTTTTAACTTAATATCGTTGATTTAAAGTCGAAAATATACTGAAGAAATGTTATGAGGTCTTGGGTATGAAAACATGATTGAGGGAAAGGATTTATGAGGCACTGTAAATATACTCAACTTAAAAAGTTTAGACGGATGCTTTGCGACATCTAGTCTTTTCTACATCTATGACAAAAATGCATGCTAAATGCATTATAAATATTTTACTCAATTCATAATTTGTATGTATAATAATTAATAATTCGCCTAATTTGATTATTCCAATACATTTTAATGTAACTATACAATTTGATATTACTAACATCATAAATAATACATTATTTATTATTGTTCTTGTTTTTACAATAGGATTTAAACTAAGTTTTAGCGGAATGGAAGTTTATTTATAAAGAGTTACTATTTGATATTTGTAATAATAAACCTTAGGGTGTTAGCACACCAATTGATCAATCGTCGTTCCATGCTGTCGATTGATGGTAGAATGATCGACGTCGATCAAGCTGCTTGATTTCCCCATTATCACCAGCTGTCTATCTGAGTAGTATCAGCCGTTGCTATCGACCGGCAAGCGATCGATTGGCTAGTAGATCAGTATTCGTCGATCAGAGGGCCAAGCACGAATAACTATCGCATTCGTATCGTAACAGTATCGATCGAGTTAAGCGTTCTGATTGGTTAGTTCACTTGAGCTGGCCAATCAGAGCGCCGAACGCGCTCGATACTATTACGTTACGAATGCGATAGTTATTCGTGCTTGGTCCTCAGATATCCCAAGTGACGATCATCGTTGACCGATGTTGAACGTTTGGTGAAGTAAATTGGTAATACATTACAACTCGCCTGATGGTAAGCATTCACCGAAGTTTTGCAGTAAAATGATTACAATATTCAGTATTTGTAAGGAAAATCCTAAATACAAAGCCCTAAGGTTTAAATTTGCTTCTAATATACCAAGTGATAGTGATGGCATGACGGATGACTTTCAACTATAGAGATGACGTCGCTTTAGGAGGAGGGCGCTAGAAGCAATTTAGGTCTTTCGTATCATTAAAATTTTATATGTAGGTTAGTATTATCTTATCTTTTTGTTAACACAGCTAATCTCAGCCTAACATCGGAAACCTAGACCATCATTGGAGTGTGGTTATATCCATGCAAAAAATGGATTCTATTTCCAAGTGATTGAGTTCATATTCCAGTTATAATAACTCTTAGTTGGTAAGTTTACAGCTCTATTGAAGAAGGAAGCATAGGTTTGAGATTTGATATTCATTTTCCAATATAAATTTCTCTCTCAAATTCATAATTCAAATAATTAATAACAACAATAAATTCATCGTAAACACAGATCGACAATACTGTCAAATTTCTACAGCTAAAAAATTCACAGATAACAAATTCGCGGGTAAATTTGACGTAAAATCATAGACAATCCTCAGAGCTAGAGTTTCGATTCAAAGAGTTTTTAATCATGCCACTCAATGAAGGCACAGTGAACTTTGGCTAGAAGGTTGGTGCGTGCATTATGAAGATCCTTTGTTCTTCTTTCTTGATCCATTTAAGAAGACGGTCTACTGCTTTTATGGCTTGGTCTTTTTCCATTAGGGGATCGAACGTTACGTAGAGTTCGAAACCATTTGTAACCTGTAACATAGAAATTAATTATTTACAGGGCCTTTAATTTTCAAATGGGACATATTTATTATTGATGTTTCTACTGATACTCTGCTTATCACTTAAGAGTCGAATTCGCAGTTCGCAGTCGCATAGAATAATTTAAAAACGCAACAGACACTTTACTACAACAAATTACCGTAAGTAATTAAAATAAAATTCATTTTAACTTTAAATTAAAAAAAAAAATGCCACTCACCCAAGCCAAAATAGTATCACAGGAATTCGACCGAAATATCAACTTGGCAGGCGTAGAAGTACAATGTATGGAGCTGCAGAACTTCCTATAATTCCTCACGTAGTCAATATCGGATAACCGTTCGACTTTCTTCTCCATAATATCACCTCCTTCTTTATGTCTCAGCCTATAATCCTGGAGTTTATCTAAGCTGATAGGATCAGAGGAGAATAATTGAGCTGTGGATTTACATTTGTACATAAAGTGTCTAATTTCTTGTATGCCTATATGTTTTAAAGGGTTTGTTGTTGGTAGTTCTTCATTTCTGTTTAGTGCGTCATTGATTGCGACTAGGCAGTTTGATCGTCTCAGTTTGTCTGCGATCGTGTGTTTCGCTTGTGATAGTGGGAAGAAGGCGTCGCGTTGTACTGTTAGGAGTAGGAGGCAGGCTTGGCAGTCTTCTGATATGTAGGATACGTGGCCGTGGAGGAAGCCTCTGGAAAATTAAGAAATATTTCGTCAGTATTATTCTTCGTACTACAATGTTCATATTAACTAAAATTGCGGGTTACTCATGTGAATATACTGAAAAAAGCTCTACTAGTTTCGAACTACAGAAGGGTTCTTCCACATGAGCAGCGTGTGCGGTCGAGGCGACGTCACGCAACTCACTTGATACTCACTGAGTAAGCCGCGATTTTAGTTAATTTAGTATGTCTCACGATAGTTATTATAAAAACATACAATGTCCATATTTAAATACTGAGCAGAACAACTTCAGACTTCATGATAAAAAAAACCTAGAGGAGAGAAACTCTAGACATTTGTTTTGATAGTGAATCACTAACTCTACCTTGTATGTAAAGCTTAATGATTTTTGTTTCATTTAATTCACACTAATAATATTTACTTTGTCCAATTTTAAATTCTGTCCAATTAAATACTTTTTATTTTGATGGACTTTGACCACTATCTCGCCTGGTGGTAAGCGATGAAAGACTATATGTATATAAAATATTTCTTTGTTTCGGTGTGACTGAAGTTACCGGAGCTCTCACAAAAAAGGCTAACAACGCATTTTCGTACCTCCTTTATTATGCAGATCCATTCACGTCTGAACGTTAATCAGTGATTCAGTGCCTATAGCCAAACGCCACTTTAGCGCTTGTGTACAGAGAGAGTACAAAACTAAATGTATGGGGATGACACTGATAAGTGTCAAAAGTTACGTCAATCCCATACAATTTAGTTTTCTATTCTACATGTAGAAAAGCGCTAAATGGCATTTGGCTACAGGTGCAGGTGATTTATCGTAAAAAATAAAAAAATAAACAAAACACTTACGTCGAATCAAACTTTGGTAAACAAATCGGCGTCCAACTTTCAGCCGTTTTGAAAGACTCAGAGCTTCGAACCAAGTTAAACAGTAGATGTATATCCGATGGATGTAGCGTGTACTTCTTCATTCTCACTAGAGTAATCAGTTGGTTCCCAGCGAGCATTATTGCGAACACTAGGTCTCTTATTTTGTTGCATGTTGTTTGAATCGCACTCGTTATGTTCTCTCTTGCTTTCTCTGGTAATGGGAGGCAGCGGACTGCGCCTGGAAATTACAAGAGGTTTGAAATAATGCAGTGAAACTAGGCATAAATGGGTAGCCTCGATCAGAGTGACACTGCCTTACAGATATCCCTTTGTATGTTTATAGTAATCGAAACCAGTACGCGCTTGACGCCTTGATTGGTCGTCTCAAAAAAAACCAACCAATTATAACGCCAAACGCGGTCTCGTTTCGATTACTTTTTATCGAGTTCAAAAAAAAGGAGGCCTATCAGTACATAAATAGTTATTTTTTGCTTTTTAGTTTTGTATTTTTGTTTGTTATTAATTTTTGGTTTTTTGAAGTCGGTTTTTTAAACGCATTTTATATTTTGTTTATAACTTAAAACAAACTCGTACTAAGCATCAGAAAACCGCCGTGAGATAAAATTTCTAATATTGCGTCTCAAGTAGCATAGTTATGAGTCATTGTAAACAAAAAATAAGTGTCGTTTCAGTAATATGATTGTATTGCCTGAGTAGGTAGCTAGCTCCACCTAATCAGACTATTACAATCATATTTTTGTGATTTACTAAACTTAAGGTTTCTTGTCTATTACTTTTTTACTTGACAGAAAACGAGGCATGCTTACAATAGTACAAGAAGTCCCAGTGATGCAATTTAGTATTCTATTATAATTTACAAATATATTACTTTGGATTTACTTACTAATCAAATTATCGAATTAATTGTCCATAACTTGACTGAAAACACATTTTTATTAATATCATTCGTATTATGCAAGCTACAGGCATTATAATACAAATGAAAGACAATTTGCTTATCTCGAAATAGCTCACTGGGTAGTCTTACTTGCATCCAATAACCAATGAAATGGTTATGGTGGAAATAGTAATTTAGTAAATCTTAATAATCTGTATAACTCACCCAATAAAAACGCGGGATCTTTTTCCATAAATATAAGTAAGTGGTCAATAAGTCGCTCGGCCCCCGAGAGCAGTCGCCGCAGATCATAGTTCCGTCTTTGTTCAAATATCCTGTTCAGCTGCGTCAGAGTAAGTACTGATACTATTTGGTTAAATGCATACCTGGAATTGAAGGCGTATTCTTATTGGTATAGGGTTTATAATGGTTAAAATGATGGATTGTGATTGCATTCAATAAAGCTGCTTTTTTAACTAGTTATAAAAAATACCTAGTAATTATTTTTTCAACAACATATAGGTATTACAAATACCTAGTTATTTGATGAAGAAAATAAAAATCTCAATTAGGTCCTAATTTTTTTACATTATAACTTTCGTAAGACATACTAAATTAATTATTGTGCTTACTAACGTAATTATAACATAACAGGGCTAACCATAAAGTTAATTTTTTTGAAATCATTCTAAGTTTTTCACTCTCATATGATATACTCATTTGTTGTTTTCAACAGACTAGACAAAACTTACTGTTGTACTTGCTGTCATGAAAGATTTAGTACACCAACAAAACCAAAATTAAAATACCAACTTACGTTAACTGTAAAACAAGTTGCGTTTCACTCTCATTCGACTTGGAAACTGCAACCAGTATCAAAGGCCCCTTCACCAGGAAGACTGCCTTACAATCATTTGTACTTATAGATCTCAAGATATCCTGGTTTTGTTCCTCAACCACACTTACTAGAGCTTGTATCACACCGCATAGGCCTGCTAACTTATCTTCATTACCATATCTGAAATTGTTCAAATATGAACTTTATTATTTGGTTCACAAATACTATATTTGATTTCCTCAAGTGCATAGATTGTTTTAAAGATCATCAAAACATTAATTTTGTACTGGCCCTATCTAAAGAATATGATTGATCAATGACAATGTAAATAAACATGACTAATGTTATTATTACTACAATGTACAATGGATATTAATAAAGAAGCCATAAAGTATAATTTCATTTGTCTTAATCCTATGGCTACTTTAAATTTATACCACCTTCCCTTTCTTGACTAGGATTTTTAGAGTACATAGTTTGTATTGTAAACAGAACAGAAGTACTTACTAATTTTTGTTAATAAAATTAAAAGGCACATATTAAAAAAAACATACTTGCCTAGAATAAATAGGTTTACCAGCAGAGCTTAGTATGAACACATGTTTCTCTTTGTTCACCAACTCAGGAGATTGAAGATAATCATCCTTCTCTGTGTCTGTATCATCACCATTCTGTTCCGTCAAGTTTGAGTTGCTAGTTGAAGCCGATATTGACTCCTACAAACAAGATTTTAACATTAAAACCTCTTCGAGCAATAGGCTGTATGTAAAGTTTCCACTAGCATCAACAAATAAGAAAAACTTACATCTTTAGTCTGTAAATCATCACTGGACTTTGTGGGCTTCATTTGCGCAGAATTTTCACCAATTTCACTTTGTATCTCACTAATAGTACTACTTTTTGTGGCCAATGATATGTTCCTCTCTTGGAGACTCGAGCTCATCTCCGAAGCGAACTCTTCGAAAGAATCTGTAGGATTTAGGATGCTGTCGTGACATGCACCAGGTTCCAAATCATCTGGAGGATTGTCCTGAATGACGACCGCGGGAACATCTTTGGAAGTGGAAGCCATAACGTATAATTTTCAATAAATAAATAAAATATTAAAATATACTTTACTACTGCAAAACTGCATCAATATAACGTTACTGAGTTCCGTGCGTTACGTACCTAGTCAGGCTTATCGAAATAATTACAATTATATATTTCTCTCTCGTTTCCTCTTATGAATTTATCGTCGGTTTTCTCTCTCTCATGCTCAGATAGAAGTTTGAACTCGGAACGCTAAATAATGGGGTGTCTTGTCATTTTGATGTGACTTTGACACTGACTTTCTTATCAATAGTTGCCATGAAGATAATAATTCCATATTAAAAAATTAACAATAAAACAAAAAAGCCATGAAACGAAATAAAATAACAACGATTAACATACTCCGATTTCCGAATACATAAACATACCATCACGCCTTTTTACCCTCGAAGGGGTAGGCAAAGGTGCACATTACGGCACTTAATGCCTTTGTACAATGTAACACCTACTTTTCAATATTTGTGATAAGAGTTCCATGTAATAGGGGGTGAGCCTATTGCCATATACCGGGGACAATTCCAGACTCCGTGCTACTACTGAGATTTCGAATTAGGTACTGAAATTTAATAAAAATTACTAAATTTTTTATTGTAATAAGTTTTATAAATTTTAAATACTTCCCATCAAGACCATTAAAAAACGGCCTAGGTTAACTAGGCTATTACCTACTCTTGCATCCCTTTAAATAGTGAAAAGGTACTCATATTTTTGTTCTTTGTAGTACGTTAGTAGACATTGAAATAAATAGAGATATAATTTACCTACGAAGACTAGTGTAACTACATAGTGCTTGAATTAATGTAAAACTAATTTGTACTGAATTAATTGTGAGGTACTTAAGCATTTGTAAAGAGACTAATGGACTTCATTTAATGCCGTGGGTTGGTCAGAAATAGGGGTCGCAAACCGGGATACCGAATTTCGAAAATACCGGAATACCGGGCCAAATTTATGTCTAATTAATACCGGTAGTCATTTCACAAAAACCGGGATATTCGGTATTTTTGGTTTTAGTAAAATAAATAAAAAACACTGAATTTAATTTAAGAATTTTTGTTATTTTGGTAATCAGAATATTATTTCATGATTAGTAAACCATACTAAGAGTTAATTTTATGTTTTATGAGAATATTTTATTAATTTTATGTTTTATGAGAGTTAATTTCAAGTGTATTTTTGGGTTCGTTTTGTTTATGTTGAGACTGTTGTGAGATGTTTAAGTTTGATAAACATTTTAGAGGTATTTTTAGAACTGATTTCTAGTAGGAATCCTACTTCCTAGTCAACTACATTTAATGAAAGTGTTTGAACTAGTTACCTCAAGTTATTGTATGTAATAAAGGAATAAACGGAACATTAGTAAATTATTGCTAAGTACTAACTATCTGCATCGGGGGGTATGACAAGGCGATGTTATTCCTCCCAAATTATTTACCAATGCTTTGGAGGATATGTTCAAGACGCTGCACTGGAAGGGACGGGGCATAAATGTAAACGGCAAGTATCTCTCACACTTGAGATTTGCAGATGACATCGTCATCGTGGCTGAAACCGTGCAAGACCTACAATGTATGCTGAACGGCCTGGCTGATTCTTCTGCTCGCATTGGACTCCGGATGAACCTAGACAAAACGAAGGTGATGTTCAATGAACATGTTCTTCCGGAGCCGATCACCCGGAATGGGTCTACTCTCGAGGTTGTTCAGGAGTATGTCTACCTAGGACAAACCCTACAGTTTGGTAGAAACAGCTTCGAGAGGGAGGCTCGTAGAAGGATATAGCTTGGCTGGGCGGCGTATAGGAAACTCTGTCGGGTCTTTTCGTCAACTCTACCGCAAAGCCTGAAGACGAAAGTCTTCAACGAGTGCGTCCTACCAGTCATGACATACGGAACCGAGACGTGGACACTAACAGTGCGACTGGTCCACCAATTTAAGGTGGCGCAGCGAGCTATGGAGAGGGCTATGCTCGGAGTATCTCTGAAGGATAGGATCCGTAACGAGGTGATCCGACAGAGAACTAAAGTTACCGATGTAGCCCAAAGGATTAGCAAGCTGAAATGGCAGTGGGCCGGTCACATTTGTCGAAGAACCGATGACCGCTGGAGTAGACGTGTTCTAGAGTGGAGACCGCGTCTAGGCAAACGTAGTGTAGGGCGCCCTCCAGCTAGGTGGAGTGACGATATACGTAAAGTGGCTGGTAATGGTTGGATGCGTAGAGCTGAAGATCGAGCTCAGTGGCGTGCCATTGGAGAGGCTTATGTCCAGCAGTGGACGAAAACAGGCTGTTGATGATGACTAACTAACTGGGTGATTGCCAACAATAATAAACCTTGTGTCAATGAAAATTTTGTTTTATTTAGAAGATGAATTCATTTAGGTTAGGTACCTACTTACTATTCCTCCGTAAACTAACTTTATTATATTAAATTTGCTAACTTAGGTTAATCCCGGAAATATCGAAAATACCGGGATATCGGTATTGGTCTGGGGCCAATACCGAAAATACCGGTTTTGGTCAAATGATTCGGTATTGCGACCCCTAGTCAGAAACTCGTTACGTCACCTATTTACATATAAGTAGAGGTTTGTACACGTGCGTTATGAATTTAAAAATAGCAATAAGTAATGATATTATATTTTGCTAATCAGTTTTGCAAAGGATTATAATAATAAATAAATAAATAATAAATAAATCATTTATTTCAGGCATAGGAACCCGTAGTAAAAAGTCACAAAATTACATGAAAATTACAATAAACGAAATCAAAATCAAAATTATAATAAAATCAAATTAAAATCACAATAAAATAAAATTAAAATTAAAATTAAAATTACAATCAAACAAAATTAAAATTACAATAAGATAAAATTAAAATTAAACAACTTAAATCATTAATTAAGATATTAAAAATTTTTTATTTATAAATGTTTCGTCATAAGGTACTTCAGTTCCAACCTCAACAAGTACACGTGATGGAACACTGCCGAAACCAATTCACTCCCACAAGCACATAGACGAGCCTGGAAAGACGCCCTGAGCCTCCTCATAAGCCCATAGAAGTCTGTAACCCTATTCTCCACAAACATGCCAGTCGCACTACACCGCCAGGGAAGCTTTAGGATTGCTCTAAAAGCATTATTGTATTGTACACGAAGAGTGTTGTAAGCACTCCTTGTGTATCTGTACCACAGCTGACTGGTGTAGAAAGACTGACAATACGCACCAAACAAAGTTATCTTAACTTGGTCCGTGCAATGTGAGAAACGCCGAGCCAACATGTTGGCACGACATGCTATACTACGCCTTTGGCGTTCCAGATCAGCGTCATCCAATAGATCATCCCTAATAATGTGACCAAGATATTTAAATTTCCTTACAACATTTAGCGTGGATCCACATAAATTGATCGGTAAAATATTGTCGGGACCTTTACCACTCCTAAATATCATTATCTCAGATTTCTTAACATTATATGTAAGATAATGTTCCGTAGCATATTTTTCACAGATGCCAACAAGTCTCCTTAAACCGTTGGCCGAGGGACTGAGCAACACCATGTCGTCCGCATAACTGAGATTGTTTACAGCAACATCACCAATATGACAACCGGCACGGGCGCTGCTGAGCTCCTCAATCAACTGATTGGTGTACATATTAAACAATATTGGTGACGTGAGCCCACCCTGCCTTACGCCACATGTTAATTTGTATGAGACAGACAAGGAATCATTCCACTTTACTTGGTTACATTGATTGGCATACCAGTACTCCAGCAGGTCAACAACTCCTGGCGGTACTTTAGAGCTGGGATCCCTCAACTTAGCCCACAACAACTTATAGTTAATACAATCAAATGCGCGGCTTAGGTCTAGAAAGCAGGCATAAACGCTAGTATTTCTTTGTATGTATTTATATACGGTGTTCTTTAGTGTAAATATAGCCATGTCAGTGGACAGACCCTTTCGGAAACCAAACTGTGCGTCGTTTATTGGAAACCTCATTTCGTTTAAATGTGGTATTATTAAGCGCTCGAAAACCTTAGAAAAAATGGTTGCTAAAGATATGGGCCTGTAATTAGACATGTTAGATACATCACCAGTCCTATTCTTTACAATGGGTACAACTATAGTCCTTAAGAAATTATGAGGTAAATAGCCGTGGTCAACACATGCATTAAACAATTCTGAGATTCTAATATACACCGATTCTGGAGCATATAGTAAGTGCTCGACACTGAGTCCGTCGTGGCCCGGCGACTTACCGCGTTTCATACTTTTCACACAGTCAAACAGCTGTTGCGTGGTGACGTGCAACACACTGGTATCACATGAAGGCGGCGACTGCGTCTCCGGCCCACCACGGGCCATATGGGCCACACTCTTACTTGCAGGTGTTGTCTGCAGCAGGGGTGCTGGATTAAACTGTTTGACAAACATATTGGCAATCATACTCGGGTCATTACAGCCATTTACATTAACCGGTATACTAGCTTTATAGTTTAATTTATTTGTTTCCCTCCAAAATTTTCCTGTAAATAATAATATAATTCCTGTATTTGTAGTTAAGAGTTGTTTTTTTAAGGGAAGATCATCGAATGATTGCTCCCGACTGGATGAGGCGGGAGGGAGTGTCAAAACCAACCCGATCATACTCCTGCACTTTGTGACGGAGCCCCGGTAACCCGTTAGGTTCTCCGCGACTGCGTATCGGCATCAGCCCAGTTTAGAGTAGTTAGAGTCGTGTTTAAGATTACTTGATCAACGAAGAAGTTCATTACCTGAGTTACATTTGTCGTATGGAGGTATTTGTGGGCAAGGATTCTTAATAGAAAACGCGTTGTATTAGATGTCGATCGGAGTTGGTCTACTGTCTAGTCTGTTCATTAAAATTATCAACATTATTCCATAACAACATTTGGTTTTAATTTATACGTACATACCTATAATAGCTGTTCTACTATTAATAGGGAGACCACAT